CCGCCTGAAGACATCAGAGATATTCTCCAACAGCCGGAACTGCGCTTGCACACTGCCTGCTTTGCATGTTTGTGCTGGTGCCGATCTATGACATCAATCGCACGGAAGACCGAATAAATGAAAAATATCTAAATAGACTCAAAGGATTTTTTATATTTTCTTGTGCGTTGACATACGACTTGCACACCCACAGAAAACGTCACTGGATATCATTATGTAATCCCTACTGACCATCTAACTTTTCTCACTTCAAAGCCAAAATTAGCTTTTTTCGTCTTTGTTCCGAGAGTGATATAATTTTTCATTTCTTTTTCTGGGAACTGTAGCGTCAAAAAGCGTGTCTTTCCCAACCCCCTTTTGCCCCAGCCCAACCGCAGAAACTTTTTTTTAGATAAGAAAGAACATCTTACTTCAAAAAATGTTCCTACTTCAAACACACTGTTTTTAAATCATTATAGGCGGAGTAAAATCTCCAACGAAGAATGATCTCAACCTACTAAATGAAAATTAACACCGTAATAAATTACCTCGCGGCCCACTGCTTGCTACATGTGACACTTGTCTCCCGGGGACCCCGATGAGATAGTGCTGCCGTCACCAGGCTCTACAGTCACTTGTTTTGGTCACAATCTTTACACTTCTGACATTTTAACTATATTTAACCACATAATGAAAAGGAATTTAATTTATTCTTTTCCGCCTATTTTTAACCAACAGTGAATCTAATATAAATTAATGATATTTATTAGTGATTAAATAACTTTTTATTCTCAATTCGGGATTATTACTTACTCTTTGATATTCAAAGATGTGCAGTGTACGATTCTTCTAAACCCTTTGAAATTCAGAATCTTGAATGTGAGAGATGTGTGTTCTGTAATAGCCGCCATCGCTGCCATTGCTTCCATTTTCGCTATTGCAGTGTTATTTTCTGCGAGTTATTATTTACACCTTCATTTTTCAAGTCAGTGTCGTTTTTTGTTTTTGGAAATGACGTCGGAAGGAGATAAGCGCAAATTAGTGGATTTGCGCGTAGTAGATTTGCGTGCAGAACTCGAGAAACGAGGATTAGATAATAAGGGTGTTAAGGCGACATTAATTGAACGGTTGCAGAAGGTAATGCATTGTGTTTGCAGTTTAGCAGCTTATTGTTGGTGATTTGTATCAGCTTTAACTGATTTATGTATGCGTAGGTACTGCGGGACGAAGGGCATGACCCAGAGGAATACTTGTTTGACATTGAGCCGGTGAAAACTCCCAAACGCACAAGCATGAGTAAGTACTAGATTGTTTATATGAATATCCCGATGATAATTTTAACATTCATTTAATGGGAACGAATCTGAAACTAAAAATTAAGAATTTATTTTGTGTATATGTAAACATCAAGTCTTGAAAGTAAAAGTGATAAAAATCTTTGGAATACACATTCATTTTGTTGAATGATTCATGTCCTTTTTATTAATAAATATAATTAACTCGTAAGTATATTTAAATTACCATACTATGAGCACAAATGCATTGTTGGCAAACTGAGCAAACTGAAGTGTGAAGCTCTTTTGGCACCTACTACATGTGAAATGTTTATTTTTCAGTATCCATTAAATGGAATGTCAAATGAAGACTTGATCATTCTCTTTGTTTTCAAATCCAGTGGGTTGTAAGTGTACATGAAAAAAGCCAATTCCTTACTTTAACCATTATTATTTTTATTGACTTGTGTATACATTTTAATACTTTCCATTTTGCTGGTGCTTTTCGAGGAGAATAGTCTGTTCAGAGCCAACTTCATGAATTGTGTTTGGTAACAGGTACACTTTAGGGAGTTTTTGCAAGTTTTTCTCCAAACATTTTTCTTAAAGGTTGGGCAGTTGCGCGAAATTATTTCACCCTAACCCTGTTCTATGTAATTTAATTTTAATTTATTCATTGCCCCATTAAATATTTTAAAATCTTACTTGCCAATTTTTCGGCTTGAAAATCTGTATGTTTCCGTTCTTTTGCTTTTAAAGTTTCTAGTTCATAATAATGAATCTATGTTTTATCCGTGGTTACAATATTTATACAATAGTTTCTAAAAACTGGAGGAATCCTTTTCAAACAAGAGACAGAAATGGAAGTTGTTTCAGTTATTTTGACCATGGAGATGTTAAATGATCTGTTCAATTATTACCTCAAACCTAAATCATAATTTTAAAATTAGTTAATCTCAAGTAATTTGTCATGAAAATTTTGCTTGTTTTTGTAGCTTAAATTTAAATGTATCTTGCTTTGAAAACTCTGCTACTTTTGATGTGATGTCATATTATCTTGTCCTTCTGTCCATATGGTATATACCCTACAGATATAATGTGTACCCACTAGATTGAAACTCCAGTAAAATTATTGTTAACAAGATTATTTCAGTAGTGTTTGGTTTTTTATTATCTATTACATTGCTAAACCACCTTAATATTCAATTGACAAAGTATTAGATAGTTCTTGACAAGTAATAGTAGCTATTAAATTTGAGTGTCAACAGTATTGTCATGCAGGTGTAATTTTCTTTTATTGATGCCAAACCAAATTTGAGTGAGTGGTAGATGTGTAACAGTTGCCAGAAATTATTCATTTATTTCACGTATGGGAGTTAACTTGAACTTGAACTATTTTTACTCCCATCATTTTTGTCATTCTTCCAAGTGGAGAATGATAGTGTGAAGATAGCTAAAATGTAAAAAAAAGTATACTTTAAAATTAGTTTTAAGAAATATTATTTACGTTCCTAATTCTGTGATTAAAATTTTGCCTATTACAATACAGGTTTTTTTGAAATGTGGACTTTATGGCCTTGGTTGAAATATTTGACTTGATACATACACATACATATTTTTATCTACATTCTATTTTTATCTACAATGATTTGTATCTAGTCTTACAATAGTATTTTTAGTGTCAATTTTGAAATAATGTAAGTTACGTATGAAAACTATTCCTAACCTCTCAACTGCATGCACTGAACTGACACTTTGAGACACTCAGAGCTGGCACTCTCATGCATTTCCGTTCTGCCCTTATGGCTGGCAGAAGAAACAGCGATACAGTCTTCGACAATGCTGAACTACTAGCCAGAATAGTCTACTAGCCAGAACTGACCATATCCAGTATTATGGTTGCTTATTAAAAGATATCCACAATTTAACAATTATGTTCTTCTGAGGAGTACTCTTGACATCAGAGAATGAAAATATTGGGTGTCTTTGATAAATTATTGGATTTATATATTGCGGTTACAGTGACCCAAAATACGACATCAATGCATAACTCTGTTGGGTGGGATAAGATCTTTGCATTATTGTATTGAATATAAATTAATTTATTTTCTACAGAAATTAATTCTCAATTCTGAAGAGACCTCTAAACTGAAATTCTTCAATTATAAGATCAAGATCAGAGAAAAAAGTTCATTGCATGTTTTCTTTTTACATCTATTATCCATATTGTTCTTGTTACAAATTGGTCCTTTTTTATTCAGAACGAGGAGAGCAGGATACCGAATCGGAAACACATAGTAATGCTGATGAAAATCATGACACAACTATGGAAGTAGATGAAGAAGGAAAGGAGAAAGAGGAGGAGGAAGAGGAAGAGAAAATTGAAAATGGCAAGGAGAACGATTCTAAGGAGTCTTCTGAAAAATCTGGAAAAATGGAGGAGAATACAGAAATTGTTACTGAAAGTACTACAAAATCTGAAGAAAAATTTGAAGAACAGTGTGAAAGTTCTACTGTGGTAAGTGGTGTGCTTTTAGATGCGAGGATGTTGTATTATGGTAGTCTCAATTATCCTAGTCTGCGACTACCAGGGGTTGCTCAAATGCAAAAAGTACATTAGGAATCTTGAAACCTTTTTTAATGTTAATCCTCAGTTTTGTACATACACTTAGGGGTATATGTGAGATGTCATTATTGAAGTAATTTTATTTTAGTCGAATGATTAACAATCCGTTGGTAATTAAAATGACTGCAAGATCTTGTAAGATACAATTGCAAGTGGCATATGTTGGGTGTGGCATGTAGGACATGTACCGAAGGCACTGCTGAAAAGGGTAGCCTTCGAGAATTTTTGTGTGAACAAGTTAATAGGAAACTATTTTCAAATGCAGAAATACTGTTTTCAAAAAATATGAAATAAATACAATTTTTAAATGAGACAGGTTTATATTGTATCATATTCTTACTCTTGTAACTTTCACTCTATACAATTTTTACTTGGTGCTCAAACACAAATTAATTGACATAATTTTATTTATGTTTATTAAAAAAAATGTCTTTTGCCGAAGTGAATCAGATAAATATTCTTTGCTCCTTTTCTCATTTCAATAATTGTATTTATAGCATAAAAGAAATGGTAATTAGTGTATCTATAAAATTATTTATTGAAATTTTATAACTATAGATTTAAAGTAATGGAAATATTGGATCGAAGAACACTACACCCAGTTTATAAGGGTTCATTATCTTGGCTATCGTTCATTATCTCCATTAGACTTTTACATGAATAACTTATTAAAGGTTAAAATAACATAAAATGCTGTTCTCTTGGGAATGAACTGCTCCTATGCTAATTTGTTTCAATGTTTATATTAATTAGTTCAATCTCTATGTGGTAACTGTTATGTTAATCCAAGATTTTGACTCGGGTTTGTAACAAAGTAGTAATGATTGTACTAGATTAATTGATAAAGCATTCCCAAGGAAAAAACTGAAAACTCTTATATAGTAATTGAATCTAGTGTTTGTATTATGTTTCGTACACAATTAACAAATAAATGTGTTGCATGTCAGATTACCTACTGATGAAGGAAACTGGTCAAATCACATGTTAAATCTTAACTTATTTTATCAAAACTGTTTTTGGGATTAATCAACACCTCTACTGTAACTTAAGTAACTTTTCTATTATCAATAAATGCCTTAATAATGTAGCATTCCACATATATAATATATGTATGTATATATTAAAAAAACCAAAAAACCCTGATTGATTAAGTATGATGGGTTGTGAATGGTATAAAATCAGCATCAGAGAGGAAAATCCACGTTTCTGAATAATGCTTGAGGGTGTTGGAAGTTGACATCTTTGCTCTTTTGTTCAAATTTCTTTGCGCTGGTTTTGTGAGGATAAAGCTTGATTATTTGGGGTATTTAGGAGTGAGAAGAGAATAATTTTGAGGCTCCTCAGTGTTGTCATCTTAATGATTTTTCTTTATTTTAAGGGAATATTTTTCATATTTGAGAAATTAAAAGGTCAATTGGTTTTCAAATACATTTAAATTCATTATTAAGCAAGCAAACTTAATGATCAGGTATCTGATTTGGCTGTTTGCAAATACTTTTGTCAAAATATGATGGCACAAAGATGTGATATGTCAGTTGAGTGCAGAACCAGGGGTCACTTATTAATCAAATGTTGAACCTTATTTTTATGACAAAACACTGCCAAAACATCAAATGCATTCTTCTCGCTTAGACATACAAAAAAGGTTTGTTGATAAATTGAAAAAAAAAAAAAATGTTGATTAATTATTAATTTTTTGCTTCAGTTTTAATAATTCACCGATTTGAGTGATTTAGGTTACACTCTAGCTTTAATTGTAATTGTTTCAATTTTTAACTACAAAGGGATTTGCAAATGAAGCTCTGTTGATTTCTGAGACCATGAGTCTCAACATAAAATCATCTATATATTATCTGACTTCAGAAGAAAATATTTTGAGGGTACACAAAACTGAGATTTTGTTGATTGGTCTCAATTTGTTATTGCTTGTGATTCAAACATTTCTCCATACTTTTTTATATTTTCTCTATCTCATGCTCGGTCATTGAAAGGCCAAGCAATCATTATCCAAGGGGACAGAGTTTTATTGATTGTTCCTTCATGTCTTTGTATTTAGCTTCAAATAACAGCATCATATATGCCCCAGGCCTCAACTTAATTAACCACTATAAATTAAATATGTTGCATGGAAAAATGGACTCTGTGAATGTATAGGCGTTTTAAATGTGTTGGAAATAAGGGCCGCCAGATCTACGGTCTCCTGTTCATTTGCATTAAAACTATTTGATTCTGCTGATGGTTTCATTTTAATGCATGCATGAAGTGGAAGGAAATTTTTGGACAACACTAAATCCGAATCAGAGGGAGGGAAATGGGATCACTGTTTAATATTTCTTTTCAAGAAAACTACTAATTGAACAAATAATAGGCATTGATGTATATCAAGATTTTAATTGAACAGATACAAAGTACCTATTAAATAATACATATTAATGCATGAAAACAATATTCTTAATGCTCTATCGACATTGAAATTATAATGGTTTCTTCTGCAGTGCTTGTTTAGACAAAATAGAATGAGAAAAAACTATACAGGAGGAATTGTGTTAATAGACAGTAAATTACGTGGTGTTTCTGAGTTGGAACAATCCCCATAACTTTCACTGCATGTAAAAATTATCATTTCTTTTTGAATTCATTACAAAAAGAAATACTATGTAGCTTTTATGTTTTCTGTCTTGGTTTAAATAATGTTATTTATTTATTCAACTGGAAATTTTGAAGAATCATGGGTTGATAAAACAGTACTTGAAAATTTTTTTTATCTTGATATCATACAGTCTAAGGTAACTTGTTTACAAGGATGCATGGCTGATAAATTCTCTTATCTGTTGCAACTTGCTGCTTCTCCCTGTTAAGTCACTATTAAAATGACCAAAGAGCAACAGAGATGTGTCCATTCTGACATTGTGAAAATCATCTCTTCTCTTAAGAGAATAAGAGTTGTTGGCCTCCAAGAGCTTTCCAAAAACTTCAAAAGTGTATTAGTAAAAGAAAACAAAAAAGTACATACTGCATGAACACACAGATGTTACCAGTAATTTTTTTATTTTACAGATCTCCGATTTTATAATTATTTCTCTAGATAACTCAAGTCTGAATATGTTAAAATAGTTGATAACTTTCACCCGTACTGATTTGGGATATTAAAATAAACTTTTTTTCTGAAGTGAAAGCAAAATTTTTCCCTTGCTAACTTTTTATTTTGTAGACTCTCTTCTTAACTAAGAATCAATGTGCGCTAAACTGCATCAAATCGACACATTCCTGATTGGGTGAAGATGATTTTTCCATTCGAGTGAGAAATTCAAATTAAATACTTTTCCGTGCATAAAGTGCTAAGAAATTTTTGGAAAAAATCTGAATAAAAATTGGAGTGGTATATGGATATCTTTAAATGTTTGAGAGTGATGATTTCCTCTGGTAGAGTCAGTAGCTACTCGGCTGTCCAGAAGACACTGCGGCCTAGGCTTGGATGCCTAAGACAGCATCTGGACATCCAAGGACTTCACCTTCAGTATTTCTATTCTAGAAAGCTAGTTAACAAATAAGTCATTAGTTTATATCATGATTTTAATTGAACAGGTATGTTCCTCAGAAAAGTGTTTGTATTTCTAAAGAATAAATTACTTATAACTTCCTGGGACTTAAGCTAAAAGATTGATTTATATATACATATATATCAAATTGTTTATAGTAAGATCGGATAATTGAGACTACTGTAGATTGGTTTCCATTCGGATTGGCAAATTTATTTTGATGTTTGAGTTTATTTTTCAACTAGTTCAAAGAAAATATGCGTACTAATCTTGTGGAGATTTGCAATATGAAATTGATTATTTGGTAATTTTATAATTAAATAAATTAAGTAAATTAAATAAATATTAAATTTTAAAATTAATGGGTAATAATGTCAGGATTTTTAAAATCCATATGAAGATAGAAGTAAAAAATAGAAATGGACAACATTGATAACTTGCAAAATAATGCTCTCTTAAAAGTTGAAGCTCCATTGTTTTCTCTGCATTCGTTGTGAGATCTCACGCCCTCTCTCACTTTCTCATTCCCTCTCACTTCGTTTCCCCTTCCTCACTTTCTCACTCCTTCTCACTTCCTTCCCCTTCTCACTTCCCCTCACCCTCACCCCCTCTTTCCTTCCCTCTCCCTTCCCATTCTCACTTCAACTCTCCCTCTCACCCCCTCTTTCCTTCCCTCTCCCTTCCCATTCTCACTTCAACTCTCCCTCTCACCCCCTCTCTTCCTTCTTTCTTCCTATCCCTCTCTCCCTCTCATACCCTTCCTCCTCACTTCCTACTCCCTCTTTTTCTCACTCTCCTTCCTCTTTCTTCCCTTTCCTCTTGACACTGTTCAATCATCACTCATTTATACAAGATGAGCAAGTTTTGGTGGTTTAGAAAATTGCAATATCTTTTTTCTCCAAAAATGACTTTATTTATTTTTATGAACCATGCAGATTTAAATCTATTATTAGTGAGTACTGAAATAAACATTGAATGTTGATCAAATCAAATTAGAATAAATATTGGTAATAAATTTCATGAATATGGTTCGTAGTAGACGTTTTGCATTTCATTTATTTTGGATGTTAGAAAGTCTGCAGTTGTAGAAGATTGGAATAAAACTGTTGTTTCTTACGTTTTCGTAGACAGCAGATGGAGATAAGAGTGTACCGGAAGCAAATGGTGTAGATAATGAGGATTCAATCAATTTGACAATTGGAGAAGATGAAGAAAAACTTCTAGCTGATGAGGTTGGCCATGAGGTTTGTAGAGAATATTTTTTGCCTTTGTTTTTAGACGTTATAACTACAAAAATTTGTTGTGTGTTCAGTCTAGTAAAGAATGATTATCTGTTCTTCTTAAAATGAAGTTCAAAACAGATGATTAGAGAATGATATATGAAGTTATTTTATTATTTGTAGTGATGTTGTGGATAGAGTAGAAATTCTAACCTATTGAAGCGGAAGATGGCAATTGGCTTGGAAATGCCAATTTTCGATTTGATTACTAACCACTATGATTTTATTGGAAAAAACTTGACTTGATTTACAAAAATTTCAGCTAGTGGTAGCCATGATTTGAGAAGTTAAAAATACTATTTGCTAGTGTTGGTGACTAACCAAACATCACTATCCAAGTTTTGTAAGACCACTTTTAAGAGAGATTTCGGATAATTAGAATTTGCTATTTTAAAAATAAGTAATTTAAATTTGTGGATAACCTTGATCTTGTTGTTGTTGCATTAAAACTGCTTGGGCGTGCTCCTTGCAATGGAATGCTCTCGATTGCCATGGTTAGAGGAAAAGCATTTGATAAGTGCAATTAAGTCCGTGTTTCAAGTGACTAGGGATAAAAATTCTAGGGCTGCAAGGCATGAAAAGCATTGTCTATGGATTTGTCTAACAAAAATATTTAACTTTTAAGCATTAATGCTTGAATACTCACTGACAAGAGTGTGTACGAAATACCAGTTGTTAAAGACAGCAAAAAAATATGCAGTGATATGGCAAATTCAAGAAAATGAAAATTGATCAGTCCGTCCAGCCTTTCGCTCCAATAAGCAGCTCGACAGAGTTTGTTCCTAGCTGCAAGTGTGAGAGTGGATGCACCTGTAGTGAGATGTTACATGGCAGCAGCAATGGTCTGAAAGCTGTTGTGCTCAGTAAAACGAAATGTTGCAGAGTGCAAGAAAATAACTTTTGCAATAAATAAATGGAGGACACTACCTAATTATTTAATTGGTTTCTAATTATTCAGTGTTTTTAAAACTAGTTAATTCAATACTTATTGAATCACAATATTAGAAAATTGAATTAATGTCTATAAATTGGATTAGCAAGGAAGAAATGAAAGAAATGGTGAATATATTCAATTGCTAAATAAATGTTTGAGAAAGTAAATCATTGTGTATGAGAGTTGCATAAATTGTACAAAAATAAAATTGCAATACTTTTCTTTTTTCTCCATACATTTAATCGACATACATTGTATGAGATTTTAATGAGCTAAGACCCAGTATAGTTGCAATTTCATTATAATCGTGTAAGACAGATGATGATGGCAATTTCATTTTATAAGAAGCAAAGTTAAAAATCTTATTATAACTTATTTTAAATAAATGTAGTCTTTATTTTAGGAAGGCAGAAGCAGGTGTTTTTCAACTGATTTATTAAAGAAAATAAGCTATAAATAAAAGTATTATGTGTAAAGGGAAGTGTTCTCACTTCATTCAGCATTAGCTTTACAGTAGATAACTGATCATGAATGTTGATTGTCCACCAGAAGATTCTTGTGCATGGAAAAGTTTCTTTCTACATCAAATGATGGGAGGAGCATACTGGAAGTGTGGTAAATCACTGGATTTTAGTTCCTCTTGGATGCCATTCATTACAAAATCACCTTCTAACACTCAACTAATGGAGCAAACAATTCTTTATATACAGAATTTTTGTCAAGAACAGGCTGAAGTTTTTCTAACACTGCATTACCAACATCTTGCACCGTTTGCAATCAGTTTTCAATTCTTACTAAATCTATCATAATTTGTAATGAAACATCTCTCTCCTAAAGACTGAATTGATTTAGATTTATTTAGTCAAAAAACAGTAAAAACTGTATGGGGGAGAAGGTAATCTGCGTGCATTTTCTTGTGTTCCAGAATCCCTTCCCATTTTAAGTATAAATAGTTGAAAGATGAGTAAAAGTTTAAAATAAATTTCAAAAAAGCACAAAATTTGCAATATTTAAAAAAAACTAGACATCTTCCTTCCAGAGTTTTAGAAAACTTTCTTGCATCGGTAAACAAACTACAGGTATGATTTTTGCATTGCTAACAAAATAGTAACTCGCCCTTACCTCTACTCCTACCATTACAAGCAAAAGGAGAGTTCAACAAAACATGCGAATAGTGAAGCATTATTTACATCCAGAAGCAAAACAAGGGGCCATCTCAGCATTTGCTCAATGTATCTGGGAAATAGGACCAAAACCTGATTGAGATGAGGGGTCAGTGACCTGGAAGCTGGGGTACATTATTTGTTAAAAGTATATTAAGTCTGTTTTAAAAAAAAATATATAATACAATGTAAAGTAACTTGTTACTAGTATATTAAACATACTTTGTTACAAGTATATTAAACATACTTTGTTACAAGTATATTAAACATACTTTGTTTTAGCAAGTATATTAAACATACTTTGTTACAAGTATACTTAAACATACTTGTTACAGTATTTAACATACTTTGTTACACAGTATATGTTAAAAATACTCTTGTGTTAAAGTATATATGAACATACCCTTTGTTTACAAGTATATAAAACATACTTTGTTACATAGTTAATAAACATATTTTGTTACAAGTAATTAACATACTTCTGTTACAAGTATATTAACATACTTTGGTTACAATATACTGAACATACTTTTGTTACAGTAGTAATGACTTTTTAAACTATATTTGCTATTGTTACATAGTATATTGACATCACTTTTGTTACAAGTATACTTGGAACATACTGTTGTTACAAGTATATTGAAATCATTATGTTTACAAGTATATTGAACATACTTGTTACAAGTATAATTGAACATTACTTTGTTAAAGTAATTGAACGTACTTTGTTACAAGTATATTGAACATACTTTGGTATACAGATATTTGAACAGTAACTTGTTACGAAGTATATTGAACGTACTTTGTTACAAGTTATTGAATACTTACTTGACGTTTGTTACAAGTATATTGACAGTACTTTGTGTTCAAGTATATTGAACGTACTCTTGTTACACAGTATATTGAACGTACTTTGTTACAAGATATCTTGAAAGCGTACTTTGTTAACAGTATATTGAAGCGTACTTTGTAAGTAAAGAATACTTATGTACACGTTACTTTGTACAATAAGGCTTTGTTACAAGTATTGGAATCTGTAATATTTCCGTTTGTTACATTATGACTACTTGTTAATATTTGAACGTACTTTGTTACGAGTATATTGAACTACTTTGTTTACAAGGTAAATGAACATATTTGTTAGCATAGTGATATTTGACTACTTTGTTACAAGTGATATTGAACATATTTTGTTACAAGTGTCTTGAACATACTTTGTTTAACAAGTGAATTGAACATACTTGTTTAAAGTGTATTGACATACTTTGTTACAAGTGTATTGAACATACTTTGTTACAAGTGTATTGAACATACTTTGTTACAAGTGTATTAAGTCTGTTTTAAAAAAAATATATAATACAATGTAAACTAATTCATTTTACATCACTGTTTTGTTAAAATAAACATTTTTCTTTTCGATCAGTGTAGTCTCTAATAGTATAGATACAGTTATGCAACAGAAAATATTTTAATTTTAACTTAAATTTGTGTATCGACTTCAGTTGTTTAATGTCATCCGGCAATGCATTTTAAAGTAATGTACATGTATTGTATGTAGATTTTTGTTAGCTGTTAATACTGACACTTGAATGTGATTTTTATGTCATGTGTTGTAGTTATTAATATCAGTATAGCATGAAAATATGTTTCCACTCTTAAGTACAACAAGTAGATTAAAACAACTGATTCACTTTTATAACAGAAAAGTGAAATTATTCTAACAACATTGAATATAACAGTAAATATTCTGTGGTGATAACAGGTACGCTTTTTTCTCAGTGTATTGGGCATCAAACAAATATTATGTATTAGTTACAATATATCTTACATTGTCATGGGAAAAAAATACTTTCATAATATAATATATCAAAGAGGTTTACTCAACGTCATTCGTATATTTTCACTTTCTCACTTTTAGTATAATCTGTAATTGTATATAAACAGTTATGCAGCAGAAAATATTTTACTTTTAACTTGCATTTGTGTACAGACTTCGGTTGTTTAATGTCGTCTGGCAATGCGTTGTAAAGTAACGTTTATGTATTGTATGAGGAATTCTGGTAGTGAGCCGTTTGTTACTGACACTTGTTGAATGTGATTTCTAAGAGATGTGTTGTAATCGTAAATATCAGTATTGCATGAAAATATGTTCCCAACGTTCAGTAAGTAAGTTTTAACAAGTATTACAGATTTGTAAATAAATACACAAGGCAATGGTAAGATTCCAAGCTCGATGAAGACTCTCTCGATGCATAATGCTGTGCATGCTTGATGAATAATTTTCTTTTGCAGTCTAAAAGTTTGGTTACATGATAGCTTCACCAGAATAGTATGCCATATCTCAGTCAGGAATGCACATTTGCATAATACATGCAACAAGCTGCATGAAGGCTGACAGAACATGAAAGAGTTCTGAATGCGTAACATAATCAACTTAATTTAGTCTTTAATTCTGTTATATGTACGTTCCATTTAGGGTTTGACTGAATTGAGTGACCAAGAAATTTTGTTACCTTAAAATCAGCTAATTGCATTTTGTTCATTTTCAAAGGAGCATGCGATTGCTAATTTCAAATGCAAAAGTGCATTGAAACTGTTTTTCCCTCGTTACCTATTAATTTATTACAAAACCAATTTCAAACTTTTGAAATCATACTATTAATGGTTTCTTTTTTGCAAGGAACATTCATGTTATCGGCAAATAACTATTTTTCCGTTTTTAGTAGACGAGGGCATATCTTATGCGTATAACAAAAAGAGGATAGGACCTAAAATGGAACCTTGCGGGACCCCATATTCAATTGGTAAAGAATTGGAAAGATAAGTAAATAATGTCTTTTTGTGCCAGTATGGTATTTCTACTCATTGAGAAATTTAAGGTACAATGTTTACCAATCTAGGGCAAATTCCATTAGAAGGTAATTTTGATAACAAGAGGTTAGATAGCAATTGCTGATGACAAGGAGCCAAAATTAGTTTTGATGTAGGCTAGCTTTCCTTCCATTTCAGTCTACAAACAGTTTGTGAAGCCCTTGTGTCTTGTGCATCAAGAGAGTCAATTACATTTTTCACTCTCTGAAAAAAGCCCTAATAATATGCACAGACATCAATCCACGTGCCCCATCGCGTGATATTAGGTTACACTGGTGGTATAATGCTAGGTGCTATTATCTGAGTTATCTGTATTACCGGAAAAGTTTGGGGTGTGATGGAGCCTTAACAAACACCAAAGTTCGACACAAGTTTGTGAACTTCGGAAAATTTTACTCAAACTTCTTCTGCCACTCTGTGAAAGTCATTATCCTGATGATCTGTCACATGTATCACCTGAGGATAAAATGCTTTGAGTGCTGTGGCAGCTTTAACAATGTGTGCTGTCATGTCTGCCACAAACTGCGGAACATCATGTCGCACTCCCTTGGGCCACATGTTCCTTGAATTGTTGAATAGCAACAAACAGTTGAATGGTTGACAGACTCCAAAACTTCCATAGTCAGCAAGAACCTTTCTCTGGGCTTGTTTATTTCGAACGTAACAACAATTACATAATACATTAGCGACATAAGGACTTTCTACATAATTTGTTTTGACAATAGTTAAGTAAATCATCTTCCTGAATCTCATTCCAGTATGTGTTTAAATGTGGAGACATAGCAAAGGCTTATGTAGTTCTTTCCATGAGTCGATTTAGCAGGTATACAGTGATTCTTGTAACATTTCCAGAAAAACTCTCAATTTGAGATTATTCAGCTTTGACAAGAGAATGTTTGCAGAAACCAAAACATCCCTGAATTCTTCCCAAAATGACAAGGTGTCTTGTGGGTGTTTCTTGCGCAAGTAATGATTGAGTTTTTGTTTTTGTAGACTACATTTGTGTTTACCATGACCGATATGTTCCTGAACAGTAAATATTTTTATTACTGAACTTTGCCAACTTCAGATACAATGTGTTTCAAATGACAATTTTTTGATGGCTTAGGCTTCAGCATTATAAACACACATGACACACATAAATATTACTGCACCCACTGCAACACAAAATACTGAAATCCAGCCACTATGCAAGTATTCATATACACCAGTAATGCTAAATTGCTAATGAAGTTCCAAAATTCCACTATTTCAGTTTGAAAAGATGAGAAAAACTAAACCAATGCTAGAAATTGGTAAGTCAGGTTTTACTCAGGAATCTGCCATTCACTTCTTCTCTTCTATTAGTTAGTTTTGAAGCGTGTAGGAATTTACCAAAGATCCATGTAAGTTCGGAAAACATGATCCCCTTTAGTAGAGAATTTCGTTTTTAACTGATGATATAATAAAAAGTTTTAGTGTATCATTGTAAATTCATGAAATTAACTAACAAAAACACGAAAAGGAAACGAAATGCATAAAAATTACAAAAATGATACCAAAGTCCCAAAAAGATCCAAAAATTGAGAAATGACAAAATGACTCAATAACTAAATATTTCTATCTCCTATATGTCATGATAAATATTAATTTAAACGTTAGCTATGTATAGGAGGCATCAGTAAAAAGATAGTCCAGAGAATCTGAGCCCTGATAATTACTCTATAACAATTACCCAAAATATTTAGGTAAAGTTGTTTCATTATTTTATTTTTTAGTTTTCTTTGTATTGAAATTGTGGTTACAGAACAAAATCTATATGGGTTGGATAACACTTGGAATGGTGACTGAAGAATCTCTGATAGAAAGATATTCATGAACAGATTCTGTGTTCTAAAAATCAGAAACTAAAATTAGTTAGTTTCTTTCCTTCTAAATATTAGATGAAGATTTTTTGGTGTATAATGGTTTTACGCTTTGTATTAAATAGTACTTGTGTAGCAATTAACTAGTAACTGACTTACTACACATAATACTTTCCACATTTGCTATATTCTGAATCATTTACTTTTTGATTTGGTTTAATTTTAATTAATACAAAGTAGAAAATATGCCTTAAAATATATTTCTCTAAAAGCATAATTTTTGTTCTAGGAGGACAGTAGCAGCCAAGAAAAAGAAGTCAAAGGTACTGTGTATTTATTTTTCTTTTCATTCTATATTATAAATAATTATAAATGTATGATCAAGAGCCATTTTATCATAAGGTTGCTTGTGATGGCAGTAGTGAGACATCTTATCAGGAACAAACGGTTTTGGGTTGTGGAATTTAATTTATGGTGGAATGTGTTGTGAAAGTACATGGTGTTTTGTGAAACTGATCCTGAGATGCCTGTGAAGTTATGATGTTCCTGTTACAAAACACGATTGTGGATGCAGTGGCTACTGTGTAATGTGATCAGATACACCGCAGAACAGCAGTGACCTTCAGGCAGCAGTGATTGTATGATAAATTGCAAGTGTTGGATTGCACAAGAAGTTTCTTCTTGAAGTAATTGGTGACTATGTGGAGTGATTCTACCTGAAATAAGTGTGATGCAGAGGGGACGTGCGTGCAATTTTCCCTAATGGTGTTGCATATGGAACTCTCCTACTGCCATTATCTATTACAAGCTCTTGATTGTACATTTTTGACAATCAGGGGAAATATTTATATTTACCGTGTGATGGTATGGGAAGGTCATGGTCAACATTTCTATAGATCTAACGTACTACAGTGTATGTTTGAAAGATCTTTTAGGTATTTCATTTGAAGAAATTGTCCATGGGGGGGAATGCTTGTTTTTTTAGAAGATGTTAGTTTACTAACTTGTTGTCGATAATCCAAATTTATGTGGGGCTATTCTTCACATACATATGTTTATTCGAGTGACCGCTGATTTTGCTTCACAATGCAAGAGCAAGTAAGATGGAATCAATATTGCTTGTGTGGCGATGTAAATTTTCCCAGGTAAGTGAAAGCTGGGCCGGAAGACAGGTTGGCCTGGGCAGAGTAATTCTTCTAACACTCTTTCAGTATTAGCAAATGACCAGCAGCTGATGGCAGATCGTGATCATCCGTGCTGCGAGTGTACATCCCTGCAGCAAGCTGCTTGCATCATCTTCTGGTGCATCATCCTGCCCATCTGCTCTTGGGCAGCCAATCGAAGCTGAGGGCAAACCACAGCCTGCGCTTCGTTTCCCTGCGATGCGGCCATGACCGTAATGCTTCCTTCATTGTCCCTGTAGATGAGGGAGAAAGAGGAGGGGTGAATCCTGAAGAGGGGACAGCAGTTGGGGATGGTAAGAAGCAAGCGGCTGGCCAGGAAGAAGATAAAGATACTGCAGGTGAAGACGGCAAGCAAGAGAAGGCTCAAGAGGAGAACAGAGATGACAAAGGAGGAGATAAGGGCAAGAGGTTGGTCTCTTCCTTTCGGTTTGTATTTCGGCAGTTCCAGACTGCAAACAAAACAAAAAAAAAAAAAAAATAATAAATCAAAAAAACAATACAAAACGTGTGACTTACACCTGTTAGGACCTTCGCACAAAGAATACTTTTATATGTTGTATTATGCATGATATTATGTTCGACACTTTGAAATGTAGGGCTGCTGTTTGGGTGTAGTAGTTAATGAGCATACACATTCTGAATTATGATTTAACGTTCATCACATCTGAGCTTCATCTGCTTGTATCCTGTTCAGTTTGATTTTATTCAATAAATTTTATTTTTCTTCGTTTCTACGATATCTTGCATTGGAGGTATGAGTTGTGATGACATCTGCATTATGCACCGTGATAATGAGAATATCTCCAAAAACTAAACAAAAATAAAACGAGCTGAAATGGAATAAAATTCTGCTCTGTTGATGGCAGTCCTGATGAGAACTTGGATACGTGATATTTGTGGTTCCTTTGGGACACCCAATATCCGGAAGATACAATCGACACAAGGCCTTGACAAAAAGACATGGCAATTTTACCGGTCTTGTTACTTAAAACAGACTTTTATGGAAATCATAGGAACTTCATCGTAATGCAAGATTTAAAAAAAAAATTGTCTTCTGAGCAAATAAATCGAGTAACATTTTCAAAAGAATCCTTAAGACTGTGTTTATATTTATATGCTATCTTTAAGCAAATGTACTTTAATATGTGGCAAAATTCGACAAAAAATAAGGCTTGATAAAACATTCACATTTTTTAAATTGTGTGAAAATTTCCTGATGAAGAAATGTTGTAACATCTAGTTACCAAACGAATAAGAGACATTTTCAATATTGAATGCTGAAAGTAATGTTCATTGAAATTGAAAGATAGAGGTGCAGATCATTTGTATCTGCCCAAAAGACCAGAAGTTATGACATTACATTATATAAAGGATGCCAAAATATTAAACAACTAAAAACTGTAGGAATTAAAAGATTACTACTTATGCACTTATGTGAGGCTGTACTTGTAGGACTTAAAAACTAAAGTAAAAAATGAAAATAAATATTTCAACTTTAAAATGTTGAAATTATTTTTATATTTTAAGCATGGCTCATCATTAAGATTTCCACTTATCTATATGCAGAATTGACAGTTTAATTATCGCTGAAATGTTTTTCAAATTGTTTGATAAAATTAGTCGATTGTTAGACAAAATAGTATAATTGTGAAAAGAAAAATGAATAAAAAGTTTTGTTTGTGTGCGTGATATTTCTTTATATTCTTCCTTTTGTGGTGAGCATTGTAGGCAGTGATGTTAAACTTACATCTTTTGCCAGGAAGTAAAAAAAATATATTTAGAAGGTAGTGGGGGAAATGTAACTGAGAAATTATACAAATTATTTTAAAAGATTAATTTCTTAACATGTTAAGTTTCACTTACTGGCACTAAAATTTGAAGGAATTGGTCTGAATGTGGACTCTAATGATATGTGTAGGTTTTGTTTGCTTTGATAAAGTTTAAGAATTGGTATAAGTGTCCTTTTGATATATGCCTCCAGTATTTCTTAACGTTGGCCTCTTGGTAAAGTAAATTATTTTTTATGTATTTAATTAGAATATGCATGATTGTCAATGTGATTTAATAATGTCTCATTCACATTGAATGACTTTTTTATTTTACAGTTCTCTGGCAAATGCGGATCAGAAACCTTCAAAAGATGATAAAGGTATGTTGTTTTGAAAGCAAATTTTTTTCAGGATACCACCATATTCATCCGTCTGCATTTCAATCTACCTTGACTATTTGTGATATAAAAATTTCCGTAAACTGTATTATTGAAATGAACTGTGAAGCAGGATTCATTTGCTGTCGACTATAATCTGTGGTATAACTAGCTTTGGAAGTTACAATACCCCTCCTGTTGACACTGGTTTTCGATTACAATGTAAAATGAGCAACATTCCTTAATTGTTGATTGAGGTGTTGAACTGTTAAATTTAAAAATGAAAAATCTTTTTGAACATGGAAAATAATTATAAGATACAACACCCTGAGTAGTCTTCTCATCTGCTCCCTCAAAAAATAGTTGAGCGATGATGTCTTTTGATTGAGTGATGTCTTTTGATTAAATAGTATTTTGATTATTTACACTTATCCACAAACTTTAACATCATTTACAGCAAAATTCTAGACATAGTACTTACATTATATGAAAGTCGAACTTTGCATATTGAAGTGAAAAATGTATTAACATGCGTTACAGATAAATGTTACGAAATTGTTTTGAGTATTTTTGGCAATAAATATATTAAAACATGAAGATATTCCCACATGGGGTACTGTTGGAGAAATTGCAGTGATGTTAAACTTACATCTTTTGCCAGGAAGTAAAAAAATATATTTAGAAGGTAGTGGGAGAAAAAGTAGCTAAGAAATTATAAAAATTATTTTAAAAGATTAATTTCTTGTAAGTTTTGATTAAAATTAGACTTATGCCTCGTGATAAAGAGTATTGTGTTCTAAATTAAATAATTTGAAGTCTTTGAGAAAATCTTAAAAGTATTTTGGGAAAGCACCCTTTTTGATTGTTACATAAAAACCATAAATGTTTTGAAAAAATTGTACATGACATTTATGATCATAATATTGAATCTATTGAGTTTAGAACACTTTGTTTCTCAACTGTTCATTTATTTGTAATGGCAGCAGCAGTTTTTCTGTTTCACTCATATAATACAAAAAATATATTTAATAAATATATAATAATAAATAATAAATATGTTTAAATTGAATATACAAATTCATTATATAATACCTCGCGTAGCATACTTAATATAACTTCAGCAATAAAACAAAAACAGTGACTATAATATCAAAAGTTAATAGAAGTTTTGTATCTTGCATATCTTGTAAGGCTGATATCAAAGAACCTAGTGTAGCTCTCTCGACACTGCTGGCAATCATTCCACTAGTTCACCACTCTGTTATTCAAAATGTGGTGGTGTTGAAAGATATTCGTATTCTTTTGGTACAGCTTCAAGGAGTGATCCCTAAGGCGACGATTCAGACTTCTCGTTAAGAAATTTGTGAGAACCCATTCATAATCTTAAACATTTCAATTACATATCTTCGTTGTCTCCTCTGCTCCAGAGTTCGCAATTCGACTGCCTGACATCTCCCCTCATATGATTTGTCCCATTGATTGATAGCGGATTCTGTCATGTGTCTTTGCACTTTCCTCAAGGCTTTTCTTGTAGTAAGGGGGTCATATAGAACTGGCTTATTCCAATATTGGTCTGATATTCATCACATACAGTTTCTTCATCTCTGTTGACTTTATTCTCAGGAACACTCTGCCGCTCAGGTACAGTGCAGAATTTGCTCTCTTGAAAACTGCTGAAACCTGTCTGTCCCATTTGAGATCTTGCATTACGACCATGCCTAGGTTACCACCTGTGTGGTCACTGGTTGTATTGTATGCCCACCAATCTGGTACAGGTTTCTGGAATTGTTTTTTCCCAAAAGGAGGACTGTGCATTTATTGCTATTCAACCTGAGTAACTACATATCGGACCATTCCTCTATCTTTTGCAAATCTCCTTGAAGGTCCACTTGCTGCAGTATCAGGTTTCTCTTCTTACAACTTAGTATAATCAGTGTAACTATTCCACTTTGATCTCAAGCCTTTTCCAAGGTCTGCTGTGTACAAAAGAAATAAGTTGTGTCCCAGAACCAAGCTCTGAGAACCACCATTTGTAACAGGTCTCGGCAAAGAGAGGGTGTTTTCAACACAAACTTGAAAAGTTGTGCCAGTCAGATAATCTTCAATCCAGCGAAATAATTTTCCTCTAGCTATCATTTTCCCTATAGCTCACAGCTTGTGCAGCAATCTCCTATGCAGAACCTTATCAATGGCTTTGGCGTAGTCTAGGTAGATGACATCCATGGGGTAATCTTCATCAATTGCTCTAGTCCAGTCATTCAGAGCACTCAACAAGTTAGTGGTAATAGATCTGCTAGGTATAAAAGTTGTAGTCACAGAATAACCTCATTGATCATTGTATGGTTTAGCATCTCACACACAATAAACATTTGCATTACCTTACCCACTGTTCTAGTGTGACTGACAAGACAATAGTTATTGGGCAGTTGTTTGTTCCCTTTTTTAAAAATTGGTGTAACAGCAGCTGACTTCCACTGTTGTGAGACCTTCCCTGCATCAAGTGACTAAAGATTTTAGTCAAAGGAGGAGTGACTAGCGTTGCGCCTCTTTTCAGGTATACCTTAGGGATGCCATCAGGCCGCGCTGCTTAACTCTCTGCATGTCCGCACAGCATCTGAGCAACTGTGAATGAAAACCACAAGATTTTCAAGACTGACAATATCCAGGTTTTCAATTGTTGGGAGGGAATCATCCGGTTCAGTGGTATAAACTTCTAAAGTAATCCGCAATAAACCTATGTGATTCTTGTCTGGTCAGATATCAATTCACCTACATCCAAACACATCAGTGGGCCAGTTTTGTTCACCATTTGACTTCTAATATACAAGTACATATGCTGCTTTCCATCCTGGATAATATCTTCCTCTTCCGTTGCCTACTCAATTTTATGTTCTCATTATTCCTCAATATGTTCTATAATCCTTATATTTTCTGGTCCTTCTATAAGTAACCTATGCCTTTCGCTTTGCCCTAGATTTCTTCACTATTTCTCTGCCAATTCAGGGTTTGTTTACATTTCTCTTCATCTTTAAGCTTGGAAGGTAAACATTTAGTAATTAATGTATCCTTTCCGAAAATCTATTGTAATCCTTGGACATCTTTCAGATTTAATGTCTGATTCCAGGTGTGTCTTTATTGTAATCAGCTATGGAGTAATTCAACCTTTGCATTTTCTGCCCTGGATTTCAGGAGATTTCTGTGTGCAAAAATGTTATCACTGTGTAATCACTCAAACCAACATTTGGTTTCATATTAAGTGGAGTAATAATATGTCACGCATAGCAAGTCTGAGCAGCTCTGATCCTGGATGGTTCGGTTACCATCTGGAAGAGTTCGGAATCATTATAGATCCGTAAGAATTCATGCTCCACCTCGTTCCTGCCAAGTACACCATGCTTTGACAACATAATATTTGGAAACTGTGTATAGCTTTCCAGTTCATTTTGATTACTTGCTCTTTCAATAGTTTCCAAAAGTATCTGACCCGTAGGCCTTATTTTGTAGTGGTGTATATACCCCCTCAATTTTAACTTGAAAACCTCTTGCAGACATTTTTTACCAGAAAGCTTAAACATCTGTATCTTAGAGTTCATTCAGCTTTGTTATCATAATACTTTTAGTTTGCATCTTCAGCTCAACTTAGACCGCTACTCCTCTTCCTCCTCCTCTTCTGCTCTCTCTATTGTTTCTGTAAACCCTGTATGGGTCAATGGTCAGTGATATGTCAGAGGGGCGATCATACAAACTTTTATGTAAGCGATGTCATTTACGATTCCACAGAACAAAGTACAGATTGAAAGATATAAGATAGTGATGAATAGTAAAAAGTTATAGGGTAGTGATGAAGTAATGAATTGCTATTGGCCAATGGTCATTGATAAACCAAGTCTTCATCTTTGAAAATCAAGAAACAGCAAATCAGAAAAACATGTTTTGTGGACAAAGAAAGCAATGTGATCTTTTATAGTGGAGATTAGTTGCCCCCTCCCTGCCTCACAGCAATCTTTTCTGTAATAGAATATTCCCCTCCTAATATGCACAGGCAAGATAGGGCATGGCAACGTATGAAAGATACGCTGAGCAGCACAATGTCTTGTTGAAGCCAGGGGATGGTTCTATATGGTTATTTTTGCAGAGTTTGCGAGGTTATTTCAAAGTCTGATGTTTTTCTCTTCAAAGATTATCTCTTATACTCGTGTGATAGTAAGGAGAATTACATTCTTCATACTTTCATATTCCACTAATGAAGTTCACTGAACAATTTTGCTCCAAATGTCTCATATTTAGTTTCTGCAATTTCAGATGAAAATGAAAGACAATTTTCTGTCACAAACAAAAGTCATGTTCTTCTATGATTATTTTTAATGAAGACTGATTGAGGTTTTGGCACCAAGGATTCATGTTTATTAAAATGAAATGTTATCTTACAGTTATCACATAAATTTAATTCAGTTGTTTTTTGTCAGATATTTGTTTTGAAAGCATATGAGAGTCCCATTTGAAATTATGTATTCATCTATTTTTATAAATGTAAATATGTTTGAAAAAGTTTTCAATTGTAGTCTAAAACGAACTCCTTTAATGCAAGAATACCTCTGTGGACTTGTTTTTAAGAAGAAAGAGGAGAAATCAATAAGGACTCTAAACATTAAAGTCCTTGGTGGCTGGTTTCACTGCCAGGCACTCTGGTGGTCATTAAAACCCCCCTGTGCCAGATATATTTGACAATTAGACGGGATATCACTGGGTCGGATATAAATTCACAAACCTCAAGAACTACCATGCATACAGGACATACTTTATAGGTTTTAAAGGTATGAAATGTATAACGATCTCCAGGGTGCTGTGGTATATTGCAATCAATGCACAAGATTTCTTTGGCACTTTGGTGGAAATTTTTTTGCTCCTGATGAGCTCTTTGAAGTGTTTCACCCGTTTCTATCCAACCTTTCTCACCGACTTCTGAGGCATTATCACTTGCATTACATGCATCATGTTGTCATTGCCAGAATAGTTGGCAAATATTTCATCTACTTAAATAGGAATTTCCTCAGACTCATTGATCTATCACTATTGGCACTCATAGAGGCAGCCATATTCTTATCAATGTAAACATGTTTGTCTATTTCATAAAGACCAAATATAATGTTTATAGATATTGAAAGAGTTTCATTCTCCATTAGTAAAAAAAATCTCTGCATTTGAATGCCATCTGATGCACTCATTAAATGTGCTAACACGTATCCTTGGCCATGGCTAAGCAGAAAATTAAAAACGTTGATCAACATGTTTGTCAGTGAAAGTGTTTTGTTTAGTATTCATAGTAAAGTTTGTATCCCCGATTTTCACATTGTAAATATGAGCAAGGTAAATCAGGTAAATTTGAACTTTGCTAAAATGTCTACCTTAAAATTCTTGCACACAATAATGTTCTATTTCTCTCTATATACTTATAATTTTCTTATTTTCAAAAGTATAAACGAGAACTTATCTTTTACAGAAAAGCGGGCAAAATCTACAGCAACTACTGGTAGCAGCCGCAATCTCTGGGTCAGTGGTTTATCATCGTCCACTCGTGCAACAGATTTGAAGCAAGTGTTCTCAAAGTATGGAAAGGTGGGTGTGATTTTTATCTAAATATTCAGAGGGGAAGGAGAGTTTTTTTCAATTTTTATTTCCCAATTACATTTTTGTGCTTTTTCCCGTTCTATGTTTCCCTTTACCGAATTTTCCCAAATTGATGTTTCTTAGTTCCAGAAATTTCCCCAAAACTGACCTAAAATAAATAATTTTACACTGAATTCTGAATACTGATTACACATTTACCATACATCCTAATTTGAACAGTTGATAGTCGGTGCTCTTATTGCCTCCAATTCTCATTGTTATAATATATACCACTTGAGTTGTAGAAAGCAGGGAGGAAATACAAATGGGGATGATATTTATACATCTTTTAACTATTACTATTAGAATTATTAATATTTGTTAGAACAGACTTTAGGTTCCATCATTCCGTTAGAATTTAACTGATCAATATTTGTGTTGTTGGTACATGAAAAAACATGTTTGGAGAAATACTTGAAACAGAATGTGCAAACTGCTAACAGTAGTGAATTGGAATTAATTGAAAGAATGGATGTGGGGTTTTCAACAGATTTTAGGCTTACTGTATTGTTTGCTGAATGTTGTGTAGTTCTTTTTTCTTTTATTATATTTTTGGTGTGTTAATTGGTTTTATAAACTGTAAAGAGTATCCTACATTAATATCTATTCATATGATTGAACGAGGTACTTGTGAAAATAATTTTTGTAAAGATGGACAGATTGCTCTTATATGGGTGATTAATAAATAATAATAAAAAGAAATATGACTAAATTTACTTATGCAAAATGGGGAATCTTTGTGACTTGCATACTTCACTTGTTGAAATCTTTGCCAGCTAACAACTTTTGTTTTTATAAATAATTTTGCCAACTGTGTGGCTAATTAAGATCTATAATGACAATGGCAATGGAATTGGATGAAGTTAGTAGAAATTGTGAGTCGAAAAGGTATTTTTAAAGTGGTGCTGGGAACAAAAATTTGCTTCCTTGATGGCCTGTTTTAGATAAACATGAGGTTTCATTAAAATCTTAAAGGCTGAAGTCGCAGAGTTTTGGTAAGGAATTATGCGTTAGACAGACTTTAGAATGTTCAATCACAGAGGCTGAAGGTCAGAACCTTTTGTTGAAGCATTCGTCATGTGTGCTATGTGTTGCTGCACCTTACAAATAATTTATCTAGTTAAATTATGATTTGTTAATATGGTGCCTTTCCACTCGTGGTCATTCAACGTACATGCTTACAAATTCCAACCTATTAGCCTCTTGAACGTTGGTGACAAAGTACTTGATCTTTTTCTGCATACAAATGTTGAAATTTGCACACGTAAAAGATTGATAAGATACCTAACTGCTGTATAAATTTCAACTTGGGTATAACTCCAAGTGAAGATTGAAAATGCTTTTTTTCCGTATTGAAAGAAGTGGTGGCCTGACGTAATCAGACTATTTTCTGGCCATTTTAATTTCAAATTCACCTTGCTTTACAATATTTAATGCTATTGTATTACAATTATAAAAGCCCAATAACGTAATTTTGAATATTAGTTTAATACCGTTCACACTTATTTGCAAATGAAAATATTGACATCTTGTCGTCAAAAGCTAAACCCACTAGTTCCGAAATCATAATCATTTAGACGGCAAAATTACCCTAATGAAAAACTAAAGTGAATGTTCTGTCCTTAACAAAGAGTATAATCCTAAGATTAAAATCATCAGTTTACTTTGCAGTTTTTGGAGCCAATTTGCAGATTTTTTCACTTAGGGAAATCTGTGCTAAGATTTGAACTCAAAACTGTTAATTCTTCTTTTTCCTTTACGCGATGACATCGCGTATTGTGCTCATTTCGTCGTATAATACGGGGTGGATCGATATACTGTTACAATGTAATAAAATAGAGTAAATAATAAATAAGTAAATCAGTCACCCCACCCAGTAGATATATGTTGTGTCCATATTACAATTTCGGGTACTCCCAGACATGGATTGAGTGGTAAAATAAAAACTCTATGTACAGTAAATCCTTTAAAGAATCTTGTATTGTCTGATTTAAGAAAACTTACTGCTGGGAAGTACAGAATAAATGAAAGAAGATACATCATCAATCAATGTGAATATTAAATTCTGAGCAGTTTGTAGGCAAATTGTCATTGCAAAAATTAAGTTTGTGAAAACCTGAATCTCCATATGTATGTACTGTGAAATGTTAAAGCAGTATTTTGAAAAGAAAATTGAACACTTATCAGACCCTGAGGGGGGGGGGGGGGGTATTAATGTTTTGTGGATTCTAACCTATAACAACCTGGAACGAATTGTTGAATTTGTCCCAGAATTATTTTGATGTCTGACATGGGACTTTTTGCTTTAGGTTAAATTCAGAATTTTTTGTGATGCTCAATTATTAGCTTCATTAATCTTATCCTGTTTTGATTGTTCAATGTTCAGTAGTAGGGGGTAAGAAAGAATCTAGCAGTCTTCAATGTGGAGCCAAAGAGTGGTGATGTTGTGGGTGCCCTTGATACAATGTGTTGGTTAAATATTGAAGAGCATTATTCAAACTTTAACCTTGTTCCGGAATGTTTGTAAACTAGGAGTTTTTAAATAAATGACCAACAACCATTAAATATTTCTAGAATTAAAGAGTGGTCGTGAATTGAAGAGCGTTTTGAAAGACATGTCTGAATAATCATTCTTCAGAGTGGAGCAAGTGGTGACTTCTCTCATTTTCTTTGGACATTCATTGACCTTTTAATTTAGTTTTGTTTTGTCATTACAAACAATTATAAATGCTCACTTTGTGTACTGCAGGTTATTGGTGCTAAAGTTGTGACTAATGCTCGCACTCCTGGTGCTCGTTGTTATGGTTATGTCACAATGGCTACAAGTGAAGATGCTTCCAAATGTATTCAACATTTGCATCGAACTGAATTACATGGGCGGATGATCTCTGTGGAAAGGGTAAGTTCTCATATCTGGAATTACTATTTTACTTATATGCGAAGACTTTTGCATGTGAAAATGTGACCCCTTTTGTTCTCCCATGTTTTAATGAGAGGAAGAACAAGTTTCTGAAGCTGATTTGAATAGAATTTGTAATAATGCATGTCCCTAATGCCACCCTTCTCATCCTCCCATTCCACAGAGTGGAAGTTTGGCAGAAACGATGAAGTGCCGAGCCATCGTAAATGTAAAAGAAGGCCCCAAATTATATCATTTTATAGATTTAAATGAGGAAAACAATTTGAAGTGTTGGATCTGAAAAGTTGGATTTTAAGGCCTTAGGATGGTTGTTGGGGTATCATTGGGGCCATGGTACACAATTGAATGGGCTGAGTTTTGGGAGTTCATTTGCACCTACGTAATATAGCTGTGTTGCTTGAACATATTAATGTGTATAAACAGGGTGGCCACTTTCTAGAAAACGTGGAGAACCGAGAAAAATCATGTAGAAGAATCATTAGAAGTCGAGGAATATTTTGAAACGGTTACGAAATTTTCTTACAGGAGAAATGAGTTAGGTATTGACAGTTAGGCGTCGTCTCTACATTTCCATGGCGAAGGCGTGCGCTGGGTCAATCGGGTGTTTCTTAGGTCAGCATCTGCTGACCTGTGTGGTGATGAATTGTATTCATCAGTATGTGCATCACAATTTATGTAAGAGCGTGGGCAACTGCACTCAGTCTCGGACCTGAAAGAAACGTAAGCCCTGATAGAGTGTAAACTATGAGCAGGATTCTCTATGAAGCTTATCTTTTCTAACAGGAAACGCATTCAACCACACTGCTTGGTGAGAGCTCAGTTCGTAGTTTTTTGTAATGTGCATCAGTATCTTCGTAAGAGTCTGTCACTGACGATGTTTTTCAAAAGAAAAACAAAACAAGACTTGCACAATTTGCAAGATTCAGAAACTGTATCATATTCGCCATTTCATGTCTGTTACCTGGAAAAAGCTGTTAAACATACAGAAAGAATCATTACTCTAGCAATCAGTGCAATGACAAAGGGACATTAAGCTGTCTTACAATTTGTAATACAACTTTTTTGTTATTTAAGGTTGCATCAACTACTAGGTCATTAGCGGTCACTATTGCTTGTAACGGTATGGTAACTATGAGGATTACACGATATGATGATGATAGGGGTGTGAAAGGACGAACACAGTACAACCTTGCCCGAGGCAGGACTCGAACCTGCGATCCTTCGGTCCGAGTTCGCTAGAGCACTACTGCCTTAGGTATCTCGGCCATCCGGACTGGCAATTGTTCTGTAAAATCTAACCAAAAAGTGAATTTTTTTTTTTTTTTATATATATATATATATATATTTTCAAATTTCCTTATGCGAATAACCAAATCATGCAAAGTAGAAGTTTCTAGCAATTTGTAAGCAAAAAAAGATTTAAATCTAACAAATAATGTATTTTGAGGAATAAGAAGTATTTCTTTTCTTTTCATGAAAATGTCTAGAAATGTAAGAAATCCACAGTAGTAAATAAGAGTTTTTTAGGAGATATTAACATTTCCGTTGATGAAGTTTTCAGTCTTTCCTTTCTATGTCTAATGGAAAAGTAATGAAGAAAACATATCTCAGGCTTTTTTCCTTTATTATTGCCGCATTTAATTTGTAGAATAGTGCATCCCTTTTGAAATTTGCATTGTTAATAATGTTTTAACTGGAAAGGTATAAGAGTTCTTAATAAATTTGTTCCAAAAAATGTTAAATGTAAAGTTAAAATGTTAGTTTTATGTAATTTTATGGGTTATTTAATGACTTGTCCTTGAAATGCTAGGAATATAAAACCACCAGGTCAAGAGAAAACACAAATTTCCTTCAGTTTTGAAGTAGTCTTAATAAATGCAATTTCACTAATAAATCTGTATACTTCAGAAGCAGCTGTCTGTAGTTTTACTTTATCGATTGCTAACTGTATGCATGCATATCCCTAACTAGCCAAAAATGAGCTGAGCTGTACTACTGCATTGTTACTTATACTGCACTGCTACTGTATAAATTTGGTATGATATTAAATATTTCATAATTCCACTACTGGATTCTAGTGATAGTGACTATGAAAACTGTGATTGTAACAAGTGATATAAGTGGTATCTTTCAATGAATAATTGAATTAATGCCTCCGAACCCCACCCCCACCCCATTGTGCATTGGCCACAAAACCCCCCCAACCCATCGAAATCAGAGGGAGTTTACTTTGAAAACATCTACTGTAAGTACTTTCATTTTTTTACAACATAGCGTTTTTTTATTCCAAGGATCCTTTTCTCCTGCATGTTGATTCATATTTAGAAACATTGCAACGTATTGTAGAGAAGTGCTTACATATTTACAATGAATAATATTGCAATGCCGTGAAGTCCTGGGAGTAGCTCTAGCAGTAGACATTGCAAGTTTATATATTTGGCAACAGTATACCAAGTGCTCTGCAGCTGACATTACCAAAGTTTCATATCCCGCAGTATAGACAGTATTCCTTCAAAGAATTAGTCCAGCAGAAAATGCTTAATTCAGTTTTCTCAAACTAGTCAAATAACTCCTCGCCATAATATTCGTTCTCGAAATGTAAATAAGCTTGATATTATAGTCTGCGCCAACTCTTCTGAGATAATTACTGTAATTAAAAAACACAGTATGGGACTGGATGGTATTCCTCTGGGGATTCTGAAAGAATGCTCATTCTTTTGCTGTCTCAATTTCTATCATTTTTGAGAAATCATTAGTCTTTTACATTTCCCTCTTTTTGGAAAATTTATTACAGATCACCTGTTTATAAAAAGGATGGTAGAAATTCGGTTACTACAGACCCATCAGTAGATTATGAAGTGCAGCTAAGGTTTTTGAGACCATGGTCTTGGATAGACTTATACCTTTTATTGATAGGATTATTGAACAGCAGCATGGGGTTTGTCTGGAAGGAGTACTCTGACGAATCTTGTCTTACACTGACAATGTTGGTAATGCACTAATCAGGGTTTACAGGGTTTTGTTACTGAATTTGCTAAAGTGTTTGACAGTGTTGACATTAACAAACTAATAAGCAAAATAAAATAGAATTGAGAATTATTTTACCGATTGCAAACAGATAGTAAGATATAAATCACATAAATCTAATAATAAATATCAGTAACATCTGGGGGCCCTCAGGTAAACCAGGAAAAGTCAAGGAAATAACTGTCCACTTCTTAAAGTAAATGTGCAATTTGTCATTACTAGAACCACCTGCTTTTTGTAGACTTGAGTGTAAGAACCACAAAATGTCCATCTACAGAAACAATACAGGTGGTGACTAAAAAAGTAGTGCTTTCTGTTAATTGCTGTACTTTGTAATGTAGGCCAAAGGGGACGCTGCTGGCCCACCAAAGAAAGGAGCTGATGGCCGCCCAGTGCCAGGGAAAAAGGTGGATGAAAAAAAACGACATGAGAGAAAGTTAAGCACTAGCTCCAAAACTGAAGATAAGAAGTCAGATAAAGAGGACAAAGGTGAAAGTGGGAAAAGTGAAGCAGGTAAATTTGTAAAACTTTGTTTTTCATTTAATCGTGGAATTGAAAATCCAAACTCTTCTTGTGGATAACTATAAACTACATTAATGAACATGAATATTTATTTTGTAGATGGCACAAAGGATGATGAAGGAAAACAGGGAGATGAAACAAAAGAGAAAGAAGAGTGTGCAGAAGGTGAAGAAAAGGAAAAGGATGAAAATGAAGAGGAGAAGGATGGTGGAGAACGTCGTCATTCATCAGATAAACCGCGTAGTAGGGATGTTTCTCATGATCGCCGGGAACGTCACAGAAGTGCAGGCAGCAGCCATTATTCACATCACTCGAGACCGCATTCACGTAGCCCTCATCGACGTGTGTTTAGGCCTGGATCCCCTAGTCGTCGTCCAGGGGTTCTGACATTCACTCAGATAAGGGTGAGTCTCGTACATTACTGGATTATTTTCAGTGTGATTATTAAAGAATAGTAGTTTATACACAATTTCCTTTCACAATTTATTTTATTTTAATTATTTATTAACTTTTTTTCCCCATTGAAAAAGTACAAGTGGTAAAATATTATTTTTGGTATTTATCTATTATTTCCTGTTGGCCTCTTTTGTGTATGTATTTATATATGTGTTGAAGTTAGGTCAATTCTTAAATGAAAGCCAATGTACATCTTGGATGCCTATGTTTTGGCCCTTCATTTTGCTGTCATCAGGGCAATTATACTTTTATATTATTACACTTTTTCCCTCACACTACTCGGCCAGGGAAGCCTTTTTCTGGAACTCCTTGAAACCCAGGAAAAAATCGGCATATTTGTAGATGAATCATTAGGAATCTTTAACATTTTCAGTAACATAAAAATATATAGTATTCCTTAGTTGAACTTATTAGTACAACATAATATTTTGCTCAGTTTTTATTTGCTTAAAAAAAGATTGCTATTTTGTATTTTCTCACTGCAAAATCAGAGCGCTCGCCAATTAGTATCAAGCTGAATTCAATATTGCCTTTAAATAGTGTGGCATAAGAAAAAAAAAAACGGTAAAAAGTACTCACGTTAAAAAAATTGATTGTCGATATAGAATGCAAGCTAACAATTATTTCCGTTTGATGTAATTATTTATGATAAAATTATTTATAAGAAATTTTATTAATTATAAGAATTATTTTTAAATAACTATTTTAAGTCAATTACATCCTAAGTTATAAACTAGAAAATTATACACACAAGTCTAATGTTTCTGAAAATTTGTGCTTTGTATAAATTCTAAGGCTGCAAGCCCTCTGAATGTTGTGCATGTGAGAAGAAAGGACACGAGGAAATGATTTTATTTTTGCTTCATTGATTATGAAATTTGTGCTCGTGTTGTTTATTATAGGACCTATGCTTGCTCGCATTAGGTCTACAACTGGCATTCAATAATATAATTTAAACTGCAGATGGAGAAAACATGCCATCATAGTCGATCGAGACATGTTTTGCTATGCTCATGGGGCCAGAGCTAAGCAGAAAAACAGTGGTGCAGACTTTTGCATACTACTTTCTTTTCAAATTTCTTTGATCTGGACTAGTCACATTCTCTTGGCAGCTGCCATTTATAGCCATCCAAAGTACATTTTTTGAAATTTTCTCAATTTTTCAGTTTCATGTCAAAGAATTGGAACAAAAATTCTCGTTTTAAAATGGCACATATTGCATGCAATGTGTGACATCTAGTAAAATTTTCAAATAAATGTACCTGACCTTAACAAAGGAACTAATTAGAGAGATTTAATACATTTTAATACAATACATTTAATACTAATTTCTTACAAGAAAATAATAGTAAAAATTTGGAGTATTTTTTGAGGAAATTTTGAAAATGTTTCAAGGTTTTAATGTAAAATAACTCCAAACATTAATAAATGATATTCAAAATCAGAGAGCTTTCACTCAGACCAAATCGACCGGTTTATTCAGTATGAAAAAAGTATGCATAGTTCAGGCGCTAGTGTTGTTCACAGATAGATGGACAGGTGTTTTGGCATCAATCTATTTTTCGGTATCAAGGTCCCACTAAACATGGACTCTAGCTAAACCAGGTTTGGGAGTTGTTGTTGTTGTTGTTTTTTCTTTCCCTTGTTACTGCGTACTCTGTACAGAGAAGTTCTGTAATGCTATGTGAAAAATTGCGAATTTTTGGCAGCAAAACTTTTATTACAGGGGCCCTAGTTACGAACAAGTGGATCAATCTAGTTGCTAAATTAAGAAAAAAGTCCTCTAACATGTGATGTATCTAGAATCCACATTTTGTGGACCATTAATACCGAAAAAGTGTGAATGTAAACACCTGTTTGTGAACAATCCTAGCTGCAAAACTATTCAGCTGATTGTCTAAAATAAATCCATCTGGCTAATGTTGCATACGCTTGAATTTGAAACCTATTTTAATTTTGGGGAGTACTTTACATGAAGCCCCTGAGACATTTTCCAAATTTTCATAAAAACTGGTTCATCCGAGACTGAAGGACATTTAAGTAAATGGTGCAGGTTTCATATTGGTTAAAAACTCTAACTTTTCAAAAAATAAAAAAATCCAAAAATTTTTCTGTCTTCCTACAATTATGAAGATAAACATTTTGGTCTTAATGTAATGTAATCACAGAAAACAAATCTCAAAATACAAAGTTCAATTTTTTTAAAACATGAATATATTTTGTGTCAAACATTGGCATTTTTGATTTTCTATAAAATATTTTTTCTTTAAAACAGCACACACTTTTTTATTAAATTGAGATCTAAGAGCAAAAGATGCTTGAAAGAATGGTGCATGTGTCATCTTCTTTAAAAATCCTTTTTTTTAGAAAATTAAAAAAAAAAAAAAATATCAACATTGTCCTACCACAACCATTGTGAATATATAATTGTTTTCTTAATGAAAGTGTTCATAAAAAACATCTTCAAAGGAGGGCATGTGGGTCGTATATATTGCTTCAGCGTGAAACTGTTGTTTGTAGGTGTAGAAATTTTTGTGTTGGTGATGCTGTGTATTTGTTCTCTCATTTATGTTTTATATTGTGTAGGAGGAGCGAGAAAGGCAACGTCTTCGTGAACGTGAGCGAGAATTACGAGAAGAAGATCGTCGTCGCCGAGAAGAAATGGCTCGTCAGCGTGAAATTGAAAGGAGACAGAGAGAGGAAGCTGCACGTCTAGAAAGGTACACATTGTACTTACTTCCCAAACCATATGCAGTTTAGCTAAGAATAATCTTTTCTTCTAAGGAGGTTCAAAACAGTAGAAACGGGACTTCTCTTTTGTTGAAAAGTATTTTATTATAGTGATAAAATGTTGTTGAAGATTTCTGAAACTATATTTAAGATTACTATTTTTAAAAGTTAAAAATTTACGTGTACTGTGTTCAGTTTAGAATTTGAAGAGTTCACTGCAGAAAAGAGAGGTTCTGCTAACGGGACTTCTCTTTTGTTGACGGGCACAGGGCGGGCCTTTTGTCAAACAAACACAAACAAAACTACATTCAAACCCCATGGCACGAAGCAGATAAGACAAAGTAGTTTTCCCCCCTGTAAACCCTATATCACTATCATGTTTAACTGCAGTTAAAATTGAGTCCAGAGTAACACTTTGTCCTGTGAAAATTGTTGTAATATGCAAAACAACATAGGAACTCACTTACATGCAAATATAAATAAATTACTTACCATTCTCATACATTGAATAAATAATGCGCCTAATCAAACCCTGTCCAAAATCATCCACTACACATGTTTTTTTCCCTTCTATTCCTGGGCACTTCCTTTTTGGAGTCTGAGCAGTATCAGGGTCTTGCTTCCAATATCTGTAAATATAAATTCAACATTCTAATTTTACTTACTTTTGAACAAGATGAGTCTTAAGCCTCAATGCATACGCAGTTTTATCAATAACTGACGAAGTTTCTATATTGCCTTGCATCATTAGCTCTTCCACAAATCTTGCAATAAAAAATATGTCTTCTTGGCGCTGATGCTGCGTCACTTCTCCCTTCTGCGGTGGACTCATTGCTAAAGTTGCTTAAAAACTATTAATATTTATCATAAACTATATTAAATATTATTACAAGAATAAATATCTACTATAAGAAATAAAGTAATTAAAATGCAAGTAATTACAAATTAAATATTATATAAATAGCTATTATTAACGCTATTAAATTTTTAATTTAACTTATTAATATATTAATGTTAAATCTAATATTTCAATGAATGAAATATAATATAAATGTTAAATAAATAATGGAAATTCTCCGAAATATGTGGAGTGAAATCATTCACGTCTGTTCTCTCCTGTGTCGACGATCTCACAAAGGTTCAACAGGCTGTGGAGAAGGGCTCGGAGAGCGCCCCTCTCCTGGGGTGCCAGGTCAAAATATACAAAACAGTCATAAACACGCAAAACGGCCCTTGAAACTCGGACAAAAGGCCCGCCCTGTGCCCGTCAACAAAAGAGAAGTCCCGTTAGCAGAACCTCTCTTTTCTGCAGTGAACTCTTCAAATTCTAAACTGAACACAGTACACGTAAATTTTTAACTTTTAAAAATAGTAATCTTAAATATAGTTTCAGAAATCTTCAACAACATTTTATCACTATAATAAAATACTTTTCATTGAACTTTCTTCTTTGTCGGAATGACACTACATTATGTATGCGCCACGGCGCCACTACACGTTAGCCAACGTTCGTGAAATGAAATCGAATCATTTCTGCATGTTAAATCACCGGGCCACGCCCCCAGGCATGATCCATGTGGTATGGCATCAGTGGCTGTCAAAAAAACCGGTCACATGACTGAACGCTCTGTACAGTCCGACTCCTCTGGCATCAGAATAGCTTCCTTTTCTTACATCCGACTCGCACCGTGTCAGAACAGCGTATCTTTGTTTGTTTATCTTGTGCGCCCTTCATCTGTCTCGTATCTGTGTGAAATTGTGCTCAGAATTGTCTCCTGTTTGTTTTTAGTGTGCAGACTCTTCAATTCCTCTCACACAATCTAATTCCCGATTGGTCATACTCCTTTTAAAACATCTGTTTATTCTTTGGTTCTTTTTTCGTTATAACTTTCTTAATTTATATTCTCCCCCACGGAATTTGCTCAAGTGACCTTTCGCTGCATTATTTATCAGCTTATTCAGCATTTTCCCCTCTATCAATTATTTTGACCTTTCCTTTATATTCTTTCCAATAACACTCACCTTTGTTTCTTTTCTGTCCCACCATTGTTGCAATTGTTCGTATTTATAATTATGTGAAATTATTGCTCCTGTTTATTTATCCTTACGATAACTCATCACAATATCATATTAACATTAAATTGTTGAAAAAATGCTACAGATGCACACTGTAGTTTGATTTTATGAAATAAACACTTTTACCTGAATAATAATTTCATTCACAACAAAAATTTACATTTTACTTCAATAAAACACCACTTGTCTTCTAAACCAGTATGTAAAGTTGGTTATGAAATGGGATGTTGGTCAGTGTGGCTTGTGTCAGTAAAGCCACTGAATATATAAATTTGAATGTAATCAATAGAGAAAATACTTCATAAATTAAAAGAACAAAAATATGAAAATAAAATTTCATCCTTAATATAATCTGGCTCTCACTGAAACTATATTCCTGTAATTGGAGACACCCTCTGGATTTTATTTCTTGGATAAAACTTTCTTCCAGAGAGAAGGAGAGATTACGAGTGGAACGAGAACGTATTGAAGCTGAGCGAGCTGAACTGATGAGATTAGAGCGTGAGCGTCAACGTTTAGAAAGAGAGAAGTTGGAACGGGAACGTGAAGAATTGAAACGGCAACAAATGAGGTAACCATTGCCAAGCTTTGTGATTTTAAGTGTAGTTGCAAAATTAATTTTTTGTTGATTTAATTACCTTTGCCTCTAGGAGCTTTCTCAAAGATTTACCTTTTGCAGACTATTATTAAAATTAACAGAACCTGAAATATTGACCTAAAAGTAGAGAAGCCACTATTTAAGTTTCTTGTTACCTTTGGTGCTAAATGCTAGACAGATTTAAGTAAATTGGTGATCTATTATTACTATTTTATATACTATAAAATAATTAAATATTCACATTTTTCTAATACTTAGTAAATAAATTTATAATGAACTGTTGAATAACTGAGCTCTTCTTAATACAATCGATCCTGAGGGTTACACTAAGTGATTAACTCCTGTGTCCTGGGCAACGTAGCTAATATTCGAGAAAAAATTTGAAACTGATAACATCTTGTAGTATTATCTTTCCTCTTTAAGTTTATATGTATTTTATTGTTATTTGATTATAAGATAGGAGTAAGAATGGAATTCAAGAAAATGCATGTTCTTATTTTGGGTAAATGATGCTGATAAATACAACTTTCTTTTTATTTTTACGGAAAGGAATAGTCTCAAGCTATGGGGAAGAACGCAGTGTACTTTAACCGACATTTAGAACGATTTTCTTAAGAATGGGATGAAGTGACAGCTCACGAAACAAGTGAACATCGTGTGTACTTCAGAGAAGTAAACACGTGCACCGTCACAAGTAGGCATCTCACATTCAAGACTCTTTTAGAACAAACATAATACTTATCACATAAAAACTAAATTCAGTGTCATTTTTATAAAAAGAAAGAATTTTTACAGATGAGCACAAACTTCTGCACTTCCTAATTTCAATTATTTCTCGTGGCGCACTATATTTTCGTCGGATGGCACTATATTTTCGCCAGGGAGCGTCGTAACTATTTACAAGTTAGCCAAGTGCAAACGAACAAATGAAGGAAGGAGAGTATAATCAGTTCAAGGACAATGACCACAGAATCGTCAGTTGTGTTGCCAGCACTAGCTGTCAAATCATCCTGTTCTAAAGAAAATCGAACAATAATACTGGTACACTATAATTATATATTGTTCAAGTTCAGAATTAATTTCATTTTCATATCTATTCATTTCTGGCCTGATTTTTAGAAATATACTGGAATAAAAAAGAATGAAAAATAATCTAGTTCAGTTGGATCTTCCTTAACAGGAAATTTTATTTCACCGGTTTTCTCAAACACTTGTATTTCAGATTGTTCATCAATTTCACATCATTAAAAACAGAACTCTTGAATTTGAAGACTCACCAATAGAATCGTTAGCACCATTATGTCTTCTATCATTTTCATAGCTCAAGTTAACACTCCAGGAAGAAAATTGTCATCCTCATCACGAGAATTCGGTTCCAATCGTTATTCAAAATCTTTTAAATATCTAAAGTTGAGAGTCACTGTTTGACATCTATATGTGGCTTCTAAACATGTTATTTGTCACTAACAGCCAGAACACTACTTACAAAGAAAGACATTCTGACACATAATTGACAATGACCACAGGTATGAATATCTAATTCCAGGGGAAAATTGCAAATATGTGCAACAACAAATAGAAGCACTATAAAAGAGCTACACTATAAAAGTTTACGATGCTATGTAAATAGAAGCACGTCCTGCAACTTTCTTAGTGACATTAACAAGCATAGTATAGGTGTCTATCATTATCCGAGAGACATTCATAGCCTGACAAAGAAGATAAATGCAGAAAAACATATTACATACATCCATAGGACATAGCAGTTGAAAGTGTTTACCACTAGTAACTTATTTTTATTTGTATGAGTGGTTTTTGAACTTCCCTTGTATATTTAATGAAACTTGTGATGTGTCAAGGTTTGAGGAGGCTAGAAGAACCACCAAAAGACCATCTGATGATCGCAGAGACTCGTACGGAGAAGATAGAAAAAGAGTTGCTACGGAACGGCGATATGAAGGTTCTCAGTCTTCACGTTTTGAAGATGAAACAAGGTAGGGTACTTGAGTTTCCCTTCCTATTAGCTTAATGTTTCAACCTTCAGTGTATTGTATCTAAGAGTGAAATGTTTGTTCCATAGCATGTTTTTTATTGTTGTTATAATTTGTTTTTATTAAAAGAATAGTGATCTGTTGTCAATTTTGCATTATTATTTTTTTGTGCTTTGTGTACATACGGTTTTAAAGTTATTAAAATTTCATAATTTGACATGTCATATTGTCACAAAGTTAAAGAGAGGGAAATTTTGAAAATAGGAACCTGCTTTTTAAAGGCAATTCAGTGTGAAGCTCATTGTGGTGTTTCATGCATGCTGCAACTTGTGTGGTTTGCAGGGAAATATACCACTTCATTCACAATTAGGTTTTATTACCTACAGGTGAGATAAACCATGTACTTAAGCAGAAATCAAGAAGTATAAAAATTATTATAATTTGTATCAATTTGTTAAAGATCATCCTCTCTGAAAGATCTAGATGTTCCTTACATGTATAAAATGGCACTTTGTCATTTGCATTCTTTGTACTAATTGGTTGCACTGATAAGCAATTTTTGTAAATTTTGGTGTTAAGTTCGGTAAGGACAATAGATTTCATGAACATTCATTGATTCATAGCTGAAATGATATGAAGTGATACACTATTCTGTGACTATTTTGTGAATGTATCTTATGCCTGAAGAAAATTAAAATCTTCAGTCTTATGGTAATGTATTGTTTGCGAATTTATTGCCTAAGTGAAATTTTGGAAGCTATATATATGCAAAAGATTGTTATCAAACTTTGTTGTACAAATCATTGACTTGATGGCGTATAATTAAACAGCCTTATGTTAACAGGTCGAATGACTTTCAAGGCAAGAAGGAGTATAAGCATGGAGGGGAGTTTGCTGGTCGCCGCAACGCTGGCGGCAAGTTTGAGGGTTCCAACTATGATCAGGACAGTCGGACTCCACGGGGGGAGGGAATGGTCATGAAGAAAGATCCCAGTCATGAATTGCCTCGGAGAGACCACACTGTGCAGGATGTGGGGAGAGGGAAGGATGGCAGGTTCGCAACTTCTTTTCAAAAGTTCCTTCTCTTTGGCAATGAGTATATTCTGCGTTGAGGTGAATGTAGTTTGATGGTTTTCCACACAATCATTCATTTTCTGTAGTGTTCTTGCATGTCTTTAATTGAAGTTCTATTATTTCTCATTGGTGCTTAACTTTTTTATATTCATCTTGTACTGAAACTTATATTTCCTGCTTCCCTACTTTTTCTCTTCTTGTTTAATTCTCTAGTGCATGTCTTTTGTAGAATATTTTCGTTCCTTAAAATAAAAGTGATGGAGAAAAACTGAGGGAGATTGAGAATGATTTATTTTGTGGTTAATTTGGATAGATTGTTTATTTTTTGAAGTAGATACAATTCTTTCGTTCTGTAATTTATAATTTACAGATTAATTCCTTACACATCATGCCTCATCGTTTTCTTATCTGTATTAAACTTACAAGTTTACTAATCATTTAATACTTAATATTTGATGGTATCTACACAGTCATGAAAGATGTTGAAAACACACAATTGAATTTGGATTTTACCAGTAGGATGTCTTTTAACACTTCCCATTTAGATCATAATTCCCAGCGTACAATGGTATCATTGACATTTCTGACTTCTAACAACTTTTTCTTTCTTACACTTGACACAGCTCAGGAATACTAAATGCATATCCAAAAACAGGAATGTTCGGGCTTCGTATAACCAAATTGTTGTACAATTTGTCCAAAGACTAGATGTGAACTTTGATATTTTCTTAAAATAAAAAGTAAAAATATATTTGCGCCATCACATTTTTTTCATTTTTCAGTAATAATTAGCTTTAGTGTGTTACAGTGTAAAATGATTTTGCATTCATAGAGCTACACAGCAAACTGGCCACCATTTCAGACTATTTCTTTGAATTAAATCAGAAGAACATAAACAAATACAAGACATGGCTGTGTGGATGTGGGCAGAGAACTATACACTACATTGTTCATTTAGTTCTTTTTATTTGTTGATGTGTCGAAATAGTTCAGAAATCACACATGATACCAGCATGGTCTGCGGATGGATGTCACGCAGCCCAAGTAGAGTGGTAGCTCCATATAAATAAGAGGGAAATTATAGAAATGAGCTGTGCTTAGGCTTGTGGTGCTGGGACAAAATGGGTGGTCAAAACTGGCTTAGGTATGAAAATTTTGGTGAACATTGGAATATAACAAAATTTCAATGACAAACTTTATAAAAACTGTTGCCTTATTTGCAGACAACAAATGAAGAATGTATATCTGGAGTCTTTTAATATTTTCATGCACAACAAAAATAATTGTTTATTGTGCATGTTACCAAACTCGGTTGTATGAACATAATAAATACAGTCTTTCTGATGAGATAATTAAAGATGTTGTCATTGCCAACAATGTTGCCAGCAATGTTGTGCCTACATTGTTGGCAATGACAACATCTTTAATTATTTTAAAAATGCCAAAGATATCTTACCACAACACCTATACTTTCTGATGAGACTTTTTCAGAAGAACACTATACTTTTTTCAATCAGTAATTAAGTAGTTTAAAGAACTAAATACAACAACCATTGTTACAGTGGAACAATGCATTTTATTGCTATGAAATTTTTTGTAAATATAGGCAAGTTCCTGTTCTTGCATTATTTTTGTGTATTAGAATTGAGTTTTATAATTAGAACACTGCTCATGGGAAATTTGTGTTGCACTTTTCCAATTTTATTTTTCTCAGAGTATGAGGTCCGTTCTGAAGTTGCATGAAGTTGAGTCATGAAGATTATATGATTAAAGCAGTTATTTTAAAACGGCTATCTTAAGAAACCTGGTATTACTTTGGCCTTTATTTATCATAGTCGTCTATTTGAGAGCTGGCTGCATGGTATTGCCCAGATTTTGGTTAAAGATACTTCCCACTATTACAAATAACAGTATTTTCAATGTATTTTGGTAAAAAAAAGTACAATCAATTTTAAATTTTTATTGCATTTATATTTTAACATGATAATATCAAAGTGAGCCCTGTATTTTTCAGGTAATTGTTTTTCTTCGAATAGTATTCTTTGTATTCCCACACTGTAAGCCCACTTCTGTCAATTCTAGTGCATCTCTGTCCACATTCCCACCTCGAAATCTCCAGTCTATTCCATGCGCTAACTAAAATAATCAAGAAATCTATACCAAAATAAAAAATTTTAAAAATTGTGGCACACTTCCTCACAAAAATCATCTGGTCTCTTACATTTTCAGTGTCAACATAAATATTTAAATGTTCCTTATTCATGACTTTTCTTCCATTAGTATGTTATTTCTGATAAACTTACTACATTCATGCCTCGATGCTATTAAGATACATTTCAAACTTATTTTATACCTTACATACAATAGTAAAGGTTATCTTTCTCACATTGAAGCTGTTAACATTACATTATACTCTTATCAGTTACAGTTCTCTATTCTCCATTCACTTGTTTGATATTTTGATTGTTAATTGAGGAAGACCTTAGACATATAATACTAGACTGGCAATGAGGCGTTTTGAAGCCAGACATTTGTGCCCCCTGCTATGTTGTCATTTCATTTTTACTCAAAAGCTTCCATTATGCTATTTGTTCATGATCCGCAAGAAAATCTATAAACCTATAATCTATAATGTTTTCAGTACATTGCTCTTGTGAAAAACTGCAATATTTATTTTATTTTAATTACAATAAATCCAGCAGTATAAAACAAATTACAATGTTATGGGATAAGCAGAGGGAGAAAAAGAGGATATAAACCTTTGATGTCAATGCTTTTAAAAGTTTTAATTTTTTTATTTAATGAAAAAACAACTTTAGTTCAGTCAGCATGTGATATTCGTGGCAATGGTGAAAACTATATTCAAAATTTCAGAAGCATAGACAAGGGATCTTCTCAGAATTTGCTCTATGGGTCAAGGGTTTGAACCTGCTTGAGACGGTAGTCAGTTGACTCCAAAGTTTATTTCAATGTTGTTTTTCAGGTAACTATAGTAAATTTGAAGGTGTACATAACTTTGAAATAAATATCATTTGGTTACTTTGCCCTGTTTCTTTACAATAAGAAAAGTTAAAGTTCAAATTATATTTGAATTATAGTGTGTAATTAAATTAACCTTGCTCCCATTTCCCACACTTGCAGGCATTAAGAAGCACTGCAACAAAATGCTGATAATCATTATTTGTCCCACTAAAAGACAGAACAGCATTTGTTAAGTTTTCTAAAAAAAAATTCATGGTTTGAATGGTTTTGTAACATCTTCCAATGTTTCTGCAAATGTGTTAGATGGGCTAGAAAAATGTTGGGGCAGACCCTCTAAATCTCTTCTAGCCTGTTAATCCCATATCTTATGAACAAAAATGTTCTTAGCAAATGGATAAATCAGATATCGGTGATCAGTTCTCCTTTCTAACGGCATTTAACCATGCTTTTATGAAACCTTGGATTGGAAATTCATGAAATGCAAGATCAAACCAGTAGTGTTACCGAATGGCAGAGACTTTCCCATATTAGTTTTCTATTTCTTTTGGTCTCAGCTAGCCATTCGGACTTGCCACATGCTCTAGCCAGCTGCTGTCTATCCCCACCAAAATTGCATTTTTTTGAAAATTTTCTTAATTTTTAGTTTCCTAATAGTAGAGCCAAAATATTATTTTAAGAATATTAAAGGACAGAGACTCATCATCCTAAATGGCAATTTTGTTTGAAAAATTTGGATTTGTTTTTTTAGAAAATGGCTTCTGTAAATTCGAAATTCAAAACTCGTTTTCACAGAAATTCATGAGTTTTCGAAACGCTTTTTAAAGTCATTTGAAGCACTTCTACTCACAAATACAATGGTGTTTACAAATTGCTGAAAATATGCATATTAATGGCACGAGAGATCTTTCAAAGAAATTACAATTGTGTTATTTTTTAAAAAAACTAAAAAAATTCTTACAATATACTTTGTCTTATTAAAGGGTGCAATTAGCACTATCTGTTCAAAATGTTTGTAGAAAGAGTTTTGAGGCGTTTTTGAGATAATGTTTCTGAAAATGCTAGTTTTCACAGAAAACAGTTGTTTTTGAGATATTTTATGACATTATTTAAAGCACGTGTACTCATAAATATAATAATGTGAACTAATTGTTGCTAATATGAATATTTACGACACGAGAGACAAATAAAAAAAATACTGCTGTACACTTATGTGAGACCAGACGGTCTCTCTCACAAAAACACACACACACAACTTTGGCATGTGCCATTATGGAAAGGTAATTTTTTGGTTAAATTTTTTTTTTTTTTAAATTTGGTTAAACTTGTATGGAATATAGGCACATCAAATATTTTGTCTTATATTGCTTTTATTTTTCCTTACCATTTTCTTTTTCCTCTTTCATTGCTGAAGCAAATTCAAAACTATAAACCATTTAAGTCTAAAGTACAGTGTGCTAGGAAAGTCTCTCCATAGTGTCTTACTGGTGGGGATGCTATCAACAGAAATAATGTTGGTTTCATGAGCACCAGGCAAAAAGGTGTCTGTCTGAAGGGGGCTGCAGAAGCAGCGGGACTAAGAAGAGGGATGTCTCACATGCGACACTAGCGTCATGCACAAAAGCAAAGCTGAAGACTGAAACAGAGGTGACAGCTGGCTCTGATTCTAATCGGTACAGACAGACTTTCCTAGCGAGCTGTATGTTCCATATTAGTAAACACTAACATTTCTATTTACTAATGGGTTTTATATTTCTGGGATATTACTACACTTCAATTTTTTCTGTTCAATCAGTATACAGTTACGTGTAATTTTCTCATAAATCTGTTGCAATTTAATTTGTAAACCTTTTTCATCTACATTAAATGTTACCTTTTGTTGTATGTAACCTTCATTAAGACTTTTACCATTTCTGGTTTTGAAATGCAGGTTTGAACGTGGTCCTAGTTTCCGAGTTCGTGATGAAAGACGACCGGAAAGTGATCATCGTCCTAAGGTGGATATGAGACATTCTGCTCGTGAACGATATCCTGATTCAGCTAAAGGTGGGTAGTAAAAAATATTAAATAATTTTATTTATGGTAAGTTCATGTATTCCAATAGACTGTATTATAAAAGTGAGCATGTGGGGGGGGGGGGGTGCATGTGTGTGCGTGTGCAATATGTATAACGAAGTAACTCTAAGAATGGAATATAATATGTTTGTGTTTGTGCCTAGTCATTAAATTCTTCATACTATACTCCTTGCTTCATTATTGAAAATTGTATCATTTAATACTACAGGTTTGGTAAATTGGCATTTTTCACATCTGGTAATTGGTATGTTCTCAATAGTACGTTTGTATGTATGTTTGTAGAGTAAATTTTTCTGTTCTTGTGTGAAAATAAAAAAGTTAAAACCCAACCAATTCAGCTAAAATGAGCAACTGAGGTAATCAGAAATTACTTGTGAAGAAAGAAGAAAAAAAATGCCAATACTTCTCATGAGTTAAGAGAAGGAATAATTAGTTGTGACAATATAATTTGTTTTGAGGATTGGAAGTTCATCCAGAAGCCCCACTCTAGCAGTAATTTGTAGACACTTGCACGGATGTTTGTTTTATTTATTTATTCTACCAATTGGCTTAATACATAAACATAACAATTTTGTAATTATAAATTGCACATTGAATGAACACATATCATTGATAATTAATTAAATACATGTTATGTTTCTAATCTTTGACAAAGATTGTGATACAGAACCTCAAAAATCTATATCAGAAAAGTATTCATTGACTAGGTTCACTATTGTTTTTTGGTTTTGGCATACATGGTTTTTCAAAGACTTCACTGCATTAAACAGTCTGTTTGATCTCAAACTTGGCTTTGGGCAATTGAATACAAATTTTTTTAATATTTCTGGGCAATCAGTTTGTCCATTGACTTTTCTCCGACTTGAAAGACTGCCAATATTACATTCATTGAGAGGTTCTTGAAGTTGTTCATGTAATACAATTGACTATTGGAGAATTTTTGTGTATTTTTTCACTATCGGTAACAAGATTGTGTATGGTCACCAAATAACCGCACAGTATTAAAGTTTCGGATAAACCAAGATTGAATATCGATGAATAAATGTGTAAAACGTTGAATTTTCTTCCTAGTATAAGAATAAATCCTAAGACCCTAACCAATTGTCATCTTGTCCATGTGACTTTGGAATATTTATTTCATTATCGACTAGCGGAACCCGGCAGACTTTTTCTGCCCATCAGCTCCCTCTCTCTCCTTCTCACCTGTTCTCTCGCCCTCCGTCTCTGTATCTCTCACAGTCTCTCTTCCATTCCATCTCTGTATCTCTCACAGCTTCTCTTCCCTTCCATCTCTGTATCTCTCACAGCCTCTCTTCCCTTCCATCTCTGTATCTCTCACAGCCTCTCTTCTCTTCCATCTCTGTATCTCTCACGGCCTCTTTCTCCCTCTGTTTCTGTTTCTCTCCTGGCCTCTTTCCCTCTGTTTCTGTTTCTCTCCTGGCCTCTTTCCCTCTGTTGTGCAATGTGCAAAGAGGCAACATTTTCAAATTATTTGAATTGCTAATATCATAGAGGGAAGACATTCATTAATATCCATTCAGAAACACGCAATACTAATAAATCAAAAATCTTGTCACTGACTTCTGGAAGAGAGAAATAGCGATAGTGGCATGGAATAGTGTGAAGGGAGTTTCAACTTTTGTGCTCTGCACTCACATTCCCTGTGGAACTAAACTTTCAAGCATGGCATGAACTGGAAGAGGTAAGCTTTGAAGTAACTGTAACGGGTCAATATGGGCTATGGCTTAAAGACCTGTAAATCTGGACAAGTATTAATTACAAGGGTGCACTGGTAATCTTTGGTTAAATGGTCAACTGAGGATGTACCAAGAGTGCTAAGTGACATAAGCCCCCTCCTAATGTTCTGATTGAGTTACCTCCCTCTGAATTGCATATAACTCTCTAGGAATTATTTCTCATTGAATAAAGGGACATACTTTTGTAGCACTGATCGGTTAAGGGAGATACTGTTATGAATATTCCCAGCTCTTCCTGAATTGAATTATTGAAAGCAAAAGAAGCCATCCATCAAGAAACATTTGTGTGAGAACTATGAAAAGAGTATTGCAGTGTATCATTTCAGTTAGACTAGCTATGTGAAAAAAACAAAAACCAATGTTTTGTTGTGTGTGAAAATGCGTGCATGCAGCACATGCAAGAATGCACGCATGCATTAGTGGGTAAAAAGCAATCGTATCACATTATAACATACAATTTCAAGTAGAAAACATTACAAAATGACTAAAAATAATGTTTTTTCTTCCACTAGGAGAAGGTCGATATTCTGAAAGATCAGGAGATTCTTGGCATGCAGGAGGTGGGCCACCACCTGTGAAACCATTCAGTTCTTTAAGTGGAAGTGGAGTTCCGTCAAGAGATTCTTGGGGAGCATCTGGAGATCGTAAATCTGATGGAGGACAAAGCTGGGGACGGCCAATGGAATCTAGTTCATCTGACAGGTAAAAAAGCTATGCAAATCAATGGTGATACTGCCGGAAACAAAAAGGAGTTCACAGTTCACAACTCTATCAAATGAATTTAAAATGTTTGTGAAAGAAGCAGAGGTCACTAGTGTGTGATGGGAAGAAAGTTGGTTATCACAGAAGGGAATGTTTGTATGTTCATCAGGCATCAGTGGAAAGAGTAAATTCAGTGTGCAAAACATTAAGGAGTCCTTAGTCTATGGATGACCAGAAAGATGGTGATACTTCTGAAGAAAAAATAGTAGTGTCAAAAACTGTTGTTGATTTTATGTGCAAAAAAATAGTGATAACTTGTGCAAAAAAATTTATTCTCCTCTTCAACAAAACCATTTTCTTGTCAGATAATTTGTGATTTTATATTGTCAGAATGGTAAGAATTAGTTACAAATGAATAATATTATCAGGAGTCTTTGTCAAAGTTAGGTGATAGTTTTATATTCATTTAATTAAGGTTCTTTGAATAAAGTGTGAAAATCATTAATATTCCTTGATGTCCTGACTTTCAAACATTCCTGCAAATTTACATATTTTCAAGAGTAATAGATGACAGGAAATACATTTAAGAATTCAATCTAATGTGTATATAAACTTTCATAAAATTAATATGATTTGGTTTATGTCTCTCTGATCTCATTTAAACAACAAAATTGTAACCTTATTAATAAACTGAAGTAATTTCTCGCACATCTGATCTTATAGATTTTGTCAGATTCACATTCATGTTTACACCATTTTATTTTTCAAACAAAGAACAATTTGTTCATGTGTGTTTCTTGTTATATATTTATGATTCTTATGTTCTAGTTTCAAATACAGTAATTTGCATTTGAAATTTCATATCATGAGAATGTGTGTTTTTATGTTTATTTTCATTGGTTGACATGCATACAGATGGGTGAGTGGAGGAAGTGGTCCCATGGGAGTTGTGGGACGCAGTGGACCTAGCATGGGCGGCCCAGGATCTATTTATACGAGTCAACAGAATGTACCTCCAAATCCCCCTGGAATGAACATGGGGATGTCAAGTAGTGGTCCCTATGGAGCAGATAGGTTCGACTCTTACAAACAGTCTATGGGGCCAATACGTAAATACTGAATGATATAAATATCTTTTATGGACGTCAGTGGCATCTGTAACACAGAGGTCAATGAGTTTGCTTGAACAATTCCTGGAAAATTAGCATTTTTTACTCTCTGTACCTCTTCAATAAATGTTTCATTGTAGAATTCAGTGTTCAGGTCAGCAAGCTTGTTCATAGCAAACAAGGACAGATTGATACATGCCAGATATGTTCTGTACATTCCTCAATGCTAGTATACTAAAAGTAGTTGAATCATTGAAGGCTGGAAAGTGCAACCTACCATACTAGTGTTCGTTCATCCACCTTCAACATCCGTTGTACAGTCCTGACTTCATATTTCAAGTAGATTTTATTTTTCATTGTGTAATTCTTACGCATCTAGCTCATAGAACGTGTTATTAGTATCATTTGTTTGAATGTACCCAAGCTGAATTATTGTATGCTACAAATTGTGATCCAGTTATATTATTCATACATGTGATCTTAATTCTTATTCTCAATGCTAATGTACAATATTGCAAATGCGTATTGTAATTTTAAAACATTGATGTGTTGGAATGTTTTCTTCAGTAATGCTTTCCTGTATGGGCTGAGTATAAATAAAGCTGTAAAAACTTCAGTCCTTCCACTTTGACCTGAAATAATAAATATATTATTAAACTACCACTACACGAGTTTGATTTGAAATGTACAGTGGGATCGTGTTTGTTTTTCAAGAGACAATCAATTTTGAGTGTTCTGAGAGGAGACTACATTGTTGAAAAACACTTTTATTGTTATATATTTTGTAAGGTGTAGATTGTCATTATTCAGTATTAGTATTTAACATCATGTCCAAAAGGAACGTTAGTTACAATCACCTTCTTATGAATGATTTTATTAATTATTTAACTTGAAATTTTGGAGATCTTTTGTGTCTTTTATACAAGCTGAATGTTTAAACTGATGTTTCTCCTATGTCCTTTCCAGTTTGTCTGGAGGAGACAAAAACCCTCTGAAATGTCATTTTTTAAAATAAATAATTAAGTAATTCATAAGGTTTTAACACTAAATATTCATTCTGGACTTCACCCTTTGTTAATCACTTAAAAAACATTTGTTGGATTATCTATCAGACCAACATAAGCTTCTATTTCATGCAGAGAAAGCTTCCATTGAAGATTTCAGGAACTCTTTAACTTTCTGAGTAATGTACTTAAACAATTATATTCTGAGGTGAGTTCATTTGTACTTCGTATAGATACAATTTCAATTTATTTATGTACATTTTACTCAAAGATTTGAAGTTAGAAAATTTAACTTTTGTTTTTGTTTTATAAATTGTATGAAGAGTCGACCGAGGTGTTAAGTTTTTGCATATGTTACATTGATATACAATTTCTTTTAAAGAGGAAATGTAATCCTTGAGAGAAAGAGAAAGAAAGAAAGTCAAAACGTACGAAGTTAATAACATGTTTCAATAAAATGGTTTGAACTAAATTGCTTTTCTGTTTAATGGTTTTAAAATTGATTTATTAAAAATATGTTAGGAATAAAAAACTATGAAACATTCAATTTGTTCTTTTAATGTTTCCTTCTCTACAACATAAGGAATAGACAGATATGTACATGGTAATATACAAATACACACGAGTTAAACTAATTTAGTTGCAAATAAAATAAATAAAACTAAATTGCACACAAATAATTCTGAAGTACTGAAAGAAAGAAAAAAAATCATGGAAAAAGTCCCCAGTCTGTCAAATTTGAAAGAATGTGCAACAACTCAACATTGTGCAAAGAATGAAGATGACGAAACCAAAATAGAGGAAATGTTTTTGGTGCTGGGTCCATACACTTTGGGGACTGTGCTGCTGCAGCAGTAGAATACACATGAATCGTGAAAAATATTACTGATAAACTATTGAGACTAAATCTTAGCCTTTGTGTGACAAGTTTTTAAATGTGCTAACTTGCAATACTTACTGCCCTGGATACTTGCATGAATTTGACGTTTTACTACCTATTCAGAACCCTTCAAAACTGAAATACAATTTTTGTAAGTGCTATCAAGCATTGCAAGTATTGTCCTTGCGACAATTAGTATTCAGACCTTTCATGACCTGCCACTTCCCGAAGCACGGAAATCTCCAAGCAATGTCGGCCTGCAGCTGGGGCACGTGGGTTGACAAAAACTGGTACATGGCAGGTTCGGAATGTCAGGGAGGTAAACTCAAGCTTGAATAATCCAAATACAATTATTTCAAAGGTACAGGTCCTTAAAATTTGTTTATTTCATTTTCACAAATTCATGGACCTATTTAAGGCAATTTCTAGCCAAACTAGTTACAGTGACTCATAGTAGAAAGTTTCATTCAATTGTTTCATTGTGTGTTTTATGAATCACAAGTAGTGTAGAAAAGCAGTTGGTAGAGAGAGTCTACACTATGTATAGAAAGAGAAAATCCTTTTTTCCCTTGAAGGTGCAAGTACTGCTAGTCTTGATATTACATACAAATATATTATTTCAGCAAGATATATATCAAATAATAGTTGCCTTGTTAAGAAAAACTTGCCTAACAAGCATTAGAAATGTAAGAATAAATAATCAAACCAATTTTGAATGTAAACAATTAAAAAACTTATGTTTTGGAATGTGTAAGAAAAGAAGTGTGTGTAATAAATAATATACTCTGAATATCTAAAGTTTATTTTGAAAATTTAAAAATATTAAGGGCACTTCCAAATCAGGTGAAATACTTTTTTGGATATTTCACATACTTCAGTGCTACAAAAGGTTAATTTATTTCAGATGATTTTTAATTAAATGTAGCAAAATTTGAATAGTTAAATGAATTATCTGAACAATAAATCCTGTAATAGTATTATTAATAGTTACAGTAAAAATCTAATCCAATTTTACTACATATACTGTCAAAATTCCGTCATCCGAAACAATTCAGTATTGTGCTGCCCATTTGTAGGTTTCAATGAGGGTAGTTAGTGTGTGGACTTTGTGGAAATATGGTCATGATGTGCAGTAACCAATCAAATAGCAATAGAAAATGAAAAAAAAAATTGTATTGCGGCCTAAACAGGAGAAATCTGTGCTAATTGTCTACTTTATTTTAAAGTTAAGAATGTTCCCAACCCAAAAGAAGATTGCCCAAAAATTCGGGAAAACAGGCCAAATTGAAATTGTTACATCTTCCACAAATTTTCATTTCATAAAAGATTTTTGACCCAACACTCATTTCTTTCGTACAAGGGTCCTTGACGTAGTTTGTCAGCTGTTTCCTGTTCAGAGCGTCACCGAAAGATCGCACCAGCTCCTGGGCAGCCCCGCGTAAAATTGCAATTGTCGAAATACTAGGAAGTCTCTAATCGCTCAGACGCCTCCTCGCATTGTCATCACAAGCTAATGTAGAAAGCCGAATAAAAACCACGACATTCGCAAGGAAAGGTTTAATTTCATTTGGACAGAGGTAACTGTGACAATTTCTTCAATACCTGTTAATTATTTCTCCAAGTAACAATATTTGTCAATTGTGTGTCGTCTCTTTCCCAGAACTCTTGTCTGACAAAAAACTACTGATAGAAGAGGTGATGTTTCGTTGCAGCTTCTATTAAAATACTCTCCCTTCTTTTCTTCAACCATTTCGCCGCCTGAACAAAATAATTGAACAGGTATCAACATTCCAACAGAAAACTGGACCTATTTTTCATTTTTGTTTCCTATTACTAATATGAATTTACGAAATAATGAAACATTTATACAATTTCCCCCGTTTTTCATCTATGTATTTACGTTAAAGATTCATTAAAAATTGTAATATGCACTCAAGAACTTATTTAATGGTCTACAGATCCCCATTTATTGGTCAGATTGTAAATTTTCTATTACAAAAAAATATCTATAGAAGTGAGGTTCTCTCGCCAATTGTATTAAAGTGTGAATATTTGATTAATTTTATTAGTACACACAATTTTATTAACTTTTACAGTATTTCATGCATAATTTACCAATTAAATCTTGGCGATTTATATTTTTGAACCATCGTTCACGCATCTGCTGATATTTGGGGAGCTTGTGAAAGGACATCCTCCCAGAGGTTGAGCACCCTCTTACGGAACATTTACCCATCTTCTGCAAATAATATAATTAACTCTTTGTAGAAAATCATATAATACTCATGGATATTCCCTACACGCACCACAACCATTCGCACAATTTTACTTTGAAAATGCGCGGCAAAACGCAACAGCTGCGCTACCTGCACCAGGCCCGTGTATGAGGAAACAAACTTAGTCCCCCAGCTTTTAATATTGAGTGAACCGGCCCTGCTGACTGCCTACCGAGAAAGACACGAAAAACAGTGACATAATGCCACAGTAAAGTAGGGCATTGAGGGGCGAAGTAAAATAATAACAAGAAAAGCAATATGTGCGTGCGTGCGTGCGCGTACCGGTATGCTTGTTAAATTATGTTATCTATATGCTATGGTTCACTGTAGAAGTTCGTGCATCGACATAGTTTAATGTTTCGGTCAACAGAAGTGTTCCAATTGTGCCTATATTACTATTTGTATGGTAATTTACAGAAAGCATCGTTGAAATGACGGAACCAGATACAACTTTAGGTGAAGACAATTGGAAAACCGAAGCAGAAGGCGTTATCAGTGATGTGAAAGCTCACGTAAAAGACATTCACGTATCACCTAAGTTACATAGCAACAACAAATATATTTATCTCAATATCCTCACTTTGGAAGATATAAAGTTATGTGTTGAATTAAGTGGAAGAGGGTTTAGAATAGTAGGGCTTGATTTTGACGAAAGATCTCAGCCAGGAGATACGTATTTTGAGACGCCTTATTCTGTATTAGATTCTGTAAGTGCTCTGTACAGAAATTCATTTGGATCATCCCTAATAGCCAAATTAAAAGAATTGAAAGAAGACTCATTGGACCAAGAGTTGGAATAATTTCTGCATTCTATGTATGTGGTACTTACTTCAGTTCAACAGTTGCAAAATTATGAAAGAAAAAGTATCAAAATAACGTAAACAATTAATAGAAATAAAAATATTTTTATGATCTCTATTACACGATACATGGTGTGAAGTCATAAGCATTTGCACAGGGTGCCGCAGCACCCCGAGAAGATTTTGAGAGGGCCAATACATACTAAAATGTAAATGTTAAAACCATGATTTCCCTTTTTTCAATCTCCCCAGACAATTGGGGAAATTGTTATACAATAATAGGAAAGTAAGCTGTCTGACACCCAAGAAAATTATATAGCACATATTCAATTGTATTTATTAATTTTATCATTAAAGTTATAATATCATTCTCCTTGACGTTTTTATTCATATATTAGAAATATATATCGTGTGAATGAGAAAGGGAGAGCAGAAACAAAATCTCCCCTGCCCTTCTTGTTTTAGACTGTGTGTCCAAGTGTAATTAAATAATTCAACAATTACCATTAAGCATTTAGACTTTTCACTTTACAATCGTGTAGCTCATTTGTGGACCTTCAAATTATTAAGCGATCCTCCATCTTGGAGAGGTATTTGCCCAGTGTGGGATTTCACTAGCTTCATTATTATTATTATTATTATTATTATTATTATTATTATTATTATTATTATTTAGAATTTTAACAGATTGCCTTTAAATGGATTACAGAAGATAAAGATCTACAGTATACCATCCACTTATAGTAGAAATATTCATTAATCTGATTTTTGCATTGTTATGTTGCAAATAATTCTGTTGCTACATTTCATTTACTTCCACTCCAAGAATCTGCTTAAGTTTTAACTGAAGGTGAGTGAGGGGTTTTTGTTTGGTATTCCAACTCTTGTAATAAATTCAGTTATGTTTCCTCTTATTATTTCCCCTGCGATACATTTTCTTCAGATTCTTAACTGTAAATCAGAACACACTTTTAACAAGAGCATAATATAGTTTTTAGGGTCAAAAATTAGTATGAATTATATATCTGGAACTTGCTGTGAAAAAATTGTTGGATCTGTTTCAACTTTTTATTTAGAATGAAGGTTGATGGTTGTTTCTGATTGCCCTGGTTAAAAAAAAAACAACAGGAAAATGAATGTTTAAATTAATAATAATAATAATAATAATATTAATTGAGTCACATACAATTACATTCGTGTATGACGAGTCAATATGATGTCTTGGGTGGAGAGAGCAAAGTTACATTACTGTTCAGGAGCAAAACAAAGGGCCATCTCAGCATTTGCTCAAGGAACCAGGGAAACTGAAAAAAAATCCTGATCTAGATGGGGTCATTGGCCTAGGAATTATACTACTATACTTGCTACATATAGATTAGGGTATTATATAGTCATTATATTGTCGTTTTAATGCTACTACTTATAATATTAATAACAATAATAATAATATTAAAACAATAAATGATATCAATTCTGTTATCAACTACATAAGATTTAACAATATTAATACATTCTAGGTTTAAAACTTGAAATGGTGAGAAGGAGAGAGGTTTAAACAGAAATTTTTTTTGTCATGCATTCTCCTTCTACGTCACAGGATGTGATATGCTAGTAGTTTTTCTTTACTTCAGCTCGAAACAGTTACCTGAAACAGAAAGTCAAATGGG